CTAAGGATATGTCCGAGCCAGCTCCATCTTCGTTTTTTAATTTCATCTTCTATTGTTTTTATTTTAGCTTTCTTTAATAGATTTTGTCTTGATACTTTGTAAGGTCAGAAAATTTTAAAAATAAATCTTAAACATTTGTTTTGAAAGGTTTCTAATTTTTGTATTTTGATCTTGGTCTGTTTCCAGGTTTCTGCACCATATAATAGTACTGCTCTAACAATAGCTTTGTAAACAACTATTTTTGTCTTTATTTCAATATTTGACTCTCTCCAAAATTTATGTAATCCCTTAAAACATGCTTTGATTATTCTCTGTCTAATATCTTCACTACTTCCACCTTTTTTTTTTTTTTTTATCTACAATGGAACCTAAATAGCTAAATGACTCTATGTCATCTATTTCGTGATTTTCGATTTTAATTTTGTCATTTTTCTTTTGATTTATTCTCATTAATTTAGTTTTCTTCTTGTTTATGAATAAACCTACACTATTTGAATATTTGTTGAATTTGTCTATTTTAAGCTGAAGGTCTGTACATTTGGATGAAAAAAGTACGATGTCATCAGCAAAATCAAGGTCTTCTAAAGTAGTTATGAAATTCCACCTTATTCCTCTTTTTTCATCTTTCAAGCTGTTTTATCGAAATTTTAAGAAGTCGTATATTTAAAATCCGATTTCGCTTGAACTATACAACCGATTTTGCCGTATTAAAAATTCGATATCTCAGGAACTATTAAACCGATCCTTATTTTTGGCTTTGGCTCACCCCTACTTAAAATATACTAACATTGTTTCTATAGCAACCGTTATCCACCAGACACAGTGACAGTGACTGTTCTGAGGACAGACTGTACCTACTCTTTTTCCTCTCACCCGCACCTCTCAGCTTTTCTTTGTGTGTTGCGGAGATGGTGATTTGTTGTAATTTGTGCGTGCTTGTAACAGTTTCGTCTCTCAGTGCTATCGGTCATTGTTAAAATCTAGTTATTTGTTTTAGTAATTCTGATATTTTAGTAATACAAGGTTTTATTGTGTTTTTGGTAAGTATACGCTTCCTTAAAGATACCATTTGATTTTCATTTTTTCTTTATCATGCCAAATTGTAAGAGTAGGAAAATATATGAAGGAAACAGAACATTGAGTGGGAATTACATTATTTCTTTACTCCCGTGAAAGTCAAAATAGTGTGTTTATCGTGCAATACAGTTTTGGCTATTTTGCAGAAAGCTAATGCAAATAAACACTATTTGAGTGACAAAGAACATAATATTTGAATTAAAAAAGTGAATCTCGGTAAATAGTAGTTATTCCGCCGAAGACTCTCAGTGTAGTAAATGGTGACTGATGCACGTTAAATCTGTCGAGTCGCCAAGTCTTCCATGTTCCCATAACAAATCAATAACTCTGAGGGGAGATAGCCTGGTCGGTAGGGCACTAGGCTCATGTCCAAGAGTTCGTCTGTTCGATTCCAGGCCGGCTGAAGACTCCCCGTGTAGTAAAATGGTGACTGATGCATGTTAAATCTGTCGAGTCGCAAAGTCCTCCATGTTCCCATAACAAATCTATACCTCTGGGGGTACTGATCCAGGAGTTCCCTTGTCTTCTGGATTGGCTCAAAATTACAAAGCTACGGCATTGGACATTAGTAGTCGTAAACCCAAAAATTGGGTCGGCTGTTCAACGGCGGATATAAAATATAAAATAAAATAGTAGTTATTGAAAAATACTAATAATTTATAAAAAATTATTAAATATTAATGATAAAGTAAGTTATTAAACTTAAGTAAATACAAAAATATTTTATATTGCAAATGTCTATCTCAATAAATGACTTAATGTTTTTTGCCTTATTCTATATAATGTAATAAAGTGATAAGACTTATACTAAAACCATAATTATTTCACATAAGTCGCATTTATAGGTATATCAACTTATGCGACTTTCTTTATCATTGCCTAATTAAAATGTGGCCTCTCATGGTAAAAAGGTTCTCTCAGCGCTAAGTATATCATTAGATTCATTTTACCTTTTTATAGAAGTGATAATAAATATTTTGAATTAATATTCTTGTTAAATATTTATGCCGAATTTCGATATATATATTTTTCCCAATGCCCACCCGGAGACTGACCTTTCGTCAATACAGGCATCTGAAGGGCAGGTTTGTTTGCCGCTCTTTCAGGGGACACAGTAAAGACATATGGTACAGAAAATGAAAAAACATCCATATCTTTCCCGGGATTCGAACCCAGAACCTTTTTGATGCAAAGACAGTTCCCTGACCCCTACACAGGCCAATTGGCGAATTTAAAAATATGATGAAATTAAAAAAATTGCTTTTTCTCATAAATTCAAATGTATGTATATTGAATATTTTTTTTTGCTATAAAAAAATCATCACTTCAGAAAAAGTAGAAATTCAGAACTGCCGACCCTGAAGGTTTAGACTTCCAAATATTTTATATCTTAGCACACAAAGTTGTATACCTGCCAACTTTTAATTTTTCCGCGGATGATTTTCCCCAGTGGTAGTAATGTTATTAAGTAAAAGCAGTTTTTGTAATATAGCAATTAAAAAGTTTTCGCAAATTAGGTCTTTACATACATTTTAAAATTATTTAAATATCCTGGTGGTGAAATGAATTTAAAAAACAAAAAACAAATATCAAAACATAAATATATTTTCCACTTTAATTATAACCTTGTTTTAATTATCACATTTATTTTAAGAACAGGGCGTAGTCCTTTGCTTTGATTTATGAATTGAGCGGATATTCGAAAAGAAACAAGAACAACTATAAGCGAAAAAAAATTTGTTGTACACTTCTAGTTCCAGATAGAACTCAACCTATTGATTTTTACTACAAATTCCGTGCTTCGTAGTGTTTTGACGCTTTACTATTCAGATATTAAAATATAGCTTTATTAACCATGCATAATGCATAACTGCCAATTTGTACAGCCGTTGAGAAATAATTTTCTTAGCTGTAGCAACATTAGCGTTTTGGCTTATTAAATCTAGAAGTTTAAAGTTTCAAAAAAAAATTTTAAGCTACCATGACGAATCAATAATTTTTTTAAAAAAATTTTTACGTTTATAGATATCTTAATAGTTTTGTTTTTAGATAATTCTTCCAAACTTAATTATTGTTTTACTACCATTTTGCAAAATCTTGAACAGCCGACCCAATTTTTGGGTTTACGACTACTAATGTTCAATTCCACAGCTTTGCAATTTTCAACCCAATCCAGAAGACAAAGGAACTCCTGGATCAAGTATTGGGAGAGATTTGCCTACTTGGAGGACTCTTTGATGGAACTAACTGTATGTGCGTTACGGAAATCTCCCACGGTTAGCCTGACGGTAAGAGGACTCCAACCCATGATTCGACTATCACTGAAGATATTTTACGTCAGCACTGTGGTTGGAGCAAGCCGGGATACGGAATTCGTTTCTACCAGCCATCGCTGGAATTCGAACCAGGTCACCTCATTGGAAGGCAAACACTCTGAATCATCACGGCTCGCTGCCAATTTATTTTATTTTATAACCGTCGTTGAACAGTCGACTGAATTCTTGTTTTACGATTTCAAATGTTCAAATCCGTATCCTTGCAATTTTGATCCCAATCCAGAAGTCAAGGGAGCTCCTGGATCAGTACCCCCAGAGGTATTGATTTGTTATGGGAACTTGGAGAACTTTTCAACGCAGACAGATTTAACGTGCACCAGTCACCATTTAATACACGGAGATTCTTCGGCTGGCTAGATTTGAACTCCCGTTCACACAAATACGAGTCCAACGCCCTACTAACCTGGCTATCCCGGCCCGATACCAATTTATTAAAACTTTTGCAGAAAGCGAGCAGTTGGCATCCCTGGAATTTCTTGTTCTTTCAAGTTTGAAGGCCTGCAAATTATCGCGTTCATCGTAAAACATTTTATAGGGTAGTAGACGATTGGAAACTAAATCTCTCTGAAATTGCTGTAATTATGCCAACATTTTTAAAAGCCTCGTCACAAATGAGCTGGAACTAAGTGGCGTTTCGTATGAACTTTCGATTCACGTAGAGCCGTAAAGATAAAGTTTAAATAAAAATTAGAAAGCAAAGAATTATATATTAAAACGTAAACTTAGATACCACTAGAAATTTTTTCGAAAAGCATAGAAAGTTGACAGACCTGAATTCGTCTTAAAAAAAAAAAGAAAAGAAAAAGGTTCTTGATTACCATAATTATAATCATCAAACTCAAAGACTGTGCTGGCACAACTTTTTCGCGAATCATTAAAAGTTCTGACATTGTGCATAGTATTATGCTTTAAATTTGATGCTTTAACATGTAATACTTGGTTCAACGAAGTTGAAGGAAAGTGTTCTTGAATGCTATATTTCATTTAATCTTTTGTGGAGTGTTTTGTTTCGAGATATTTTCTACGATTCACGCTCATATATATAGTTGTAGCAAAAGTTAAACTATAATGTTTGGTTTTTTATTTAATAATTTTTATTAAAAATGATTGTATATACCATAAACATTTAAGATCTTCAATTACAAACTAATGAGAACTAAAGTTAGAGGTAAGATCAGATGGTTTCACTGTGTGGAAGAGGGTTTCAATATCCTAAGAATCTCTAACTGGAGAACAATCGCAAAGAAAACAGCGAATGGAGGAAAGTTCTAGGGAAGGCTCTGGCCCTCAAAGGACTGTCATGCCAATAGAAAAAGACGAAAAAGTACATACCATAAAATCAAAACATTTGAAGAATATGTATACTTAAAACATCAAATGTGGGCTACCTTCAATAACCTTCTTTGCTTTGTAACCTTCCTTATTTTTTGATTTTGCTTTCACAGTAAACCAAAATTAAATGAGGAAAAATAAACACTTTCAAATTCAGTTTACCACATGAATTTTAGAATTCAAATAAACTATTTTGGTTTAATGTCCTTCTATTGAATAATTATTAACTGCACCCAACATATTTGTATTTTTCAGTTGACTGTTTCACTTGCAGTGTCGATTTCCGAAGCCAGCCTTTCGAACAAAACAATTCTTGCTTGTTTCCTACCAAGGATAACGAGAAAACACGATGCAGCGATTCCTCCAAATTTTGTCAAGTAAGTGACTGTGATTGAAAAATTGTGTTTTGAGTTGGGAAACTGTAAGAAACTTGACCAAAGAAATATAAGAAAATTATTTGAATGGTGGGAAATATATAGCCAATAGTTCACAATTTATCTACCATATTGATTTAAAAATTCATTAAAATTTGAGCTAAATCAGAGTATCTCAAAAATTGTTCTTTCAATTTAACTCAAATCTAGAATTCATAATTAAATCTTCTAGTATGCCCAAAGGTTGACCAAATGAAAAGTAAACACACATGACTGCGTTATAAAAGTAGCTACGTACGTGCGCAACAACGCCATTTTTCTTCGTGATAGCTTGAGATAGAGTAGTGCACTGCAAAACAAACATCTAGTGCATCGCAGACGTGGTGAATACGTTTAGTGCAGAGCAACGTGCAATAGTAAAATCTTTAGTAAAATGTAATACAGATATTAATCATCAAATGTTTACTATTTATATCGAATACTGTTAAAAACAAACGGCTGTGAACATGTAAATTATGTAAAATGTTTCGTGAAGAGCCGTTCACCAACATTATATTACTAAGGACCCAAGGTCAGCAAACGCCATGATCTCCCATAAACCAATTGCTTTTGTTGATTGAAATGATAAGAGATAATCAAAGAATTACGACTTGTGACATCTGATCAATATTATAGTCTGCTATAAATTAAGGAATGGTGGAATCACTTTCTGCCACTCACATTCATACAACTTGGGTTTTTACTGTTCCAGACGCATCCTTTTTAGCTCGACTTTACCTTCATTTTAAATACTCTCATGTAAATTATTAGTTAATCATTTATACTTAGTCTGCGTTGAGCTTTTCTGACCATCTTTTATAATCGTAAATGGTAAAGCGCATATACTTAACATTTTTGATATTAATGATGGTTAACAAACTTAAAATAATTGATTATCTTGTCTTATAACGTCAAGATTAAATAATTTTCTCTGAACCCTGAAGTCTTATAACAAATAATTTTCTCTGGCAACCCAAGGGATTCATTAAAAAGGGATAAACCCTCCTTACAGAACTGAAAGTCATTGAAACATTCCTCTTCAGTCATGGCATTTAAATTTAATAGAACGTACTCAATTCAGCGAATTTCTCTTGGTTGCCGTGGTTCTAAGAGCTCTTGTTCTAGACACATATTCAATTGATTGGGATGCCATACCATTATGCAAAGCACTGTCTATTGATTTGTCAATGTCATTTTGAAATAAGACAGAAGAAGAAATTCCTTAAAGCAGCAATAGGAGATGATAAGACAATTGCTTAAACGACTTGCAAAACGTGTATTTTCTTCAAATATGTTAAAGATTTCAGAGTGTACAAAATACTTGGTATTTTATGTAAATTTATGCTTTTTATTAATAGAAAGTATAAATGAGTGATTTCGATAAAAATAATTTAAAATTAAAATTCCTTTTAATGATTTATTTTTTTACACACTAAGGCAAATTAAGAAACAGGAAAAATAGTAATGGGATATTAAATGATTAATTAATTTTAGATATTGGAAATCGTGAGTCTGTGGCGTAACTACCACTACGATTATTAAACATCAATTCACTAGTATATAAGACATGCTAACTTGATTCAATCTTGAGGTACCTTTTGATAGATGAAGGTTGGCATTGTCTTGTGGTCTGTCCCCACATTGGTGACTTGCGGACGTGATATGATCACGCCTACTTCGATGGATGGCCCACATTTAACTGTTGACTTGCTAATTGTGATTGCGTCAACGTCCTCACCGGAATTTTATCAGGGATAGAATTCGATGAACTGATGCCACTAATTGCTGTATTTGTGAAAGACCGGGAGAGCTGGATTAAGGTCACCGGGTTTTGAGTTTTAGCCATGAGAGCTAAATTAAGTTCATGGTTGTTTGTGTGGTTACTCCTGTGTTGCTATTAGCAGTTGAATGAGTGCAGAAACCAGTTGTGTGTAAATGAGACTGAGAATCGACTTAAGGTTTTAAAATAAATGTTTTCATTTTGCTATTTAAGTTCAAAACATTTTATCACATTAATTTTCACCTGCAAACAAAAAGAATGTTTGAACGCTTTTATGGGGGGGGGGGGTGATACGACACGAATATCCTTTATCCATAATGAATGGCCATTTTCTTTTATCAACTGCAAGTCAACTGAATATGGAAGGGAAATTAATGGATTAGGCGCATTACTGACAAAAAGTTCTTCAATAACTTTTATGCCACATAATTTTTATGTGAACGTAATTGTTCAAAATTTCTTTCTTTTCTTTGCAGGGAGTTGTTACCAGAATAAATGGTGTCTTTGTCCAGCTACAGAGGACGTGCGAAACAGATTGTACGCAGATTTGTGTTGAAAAAGGATTCGGAATCGAAACAAGCGAGTGCAAATTTTGTTGCAACAAGAATCCGGATTGCGGAAAAGATGGATATGTTGTAGTATGAGAATGTATAATAAATTTTTACATTGATGGATCATTATATAGTGTAGGCGCAGTTTATTTTATATCTGATGTGCGCCGTCCTTAAAAGAATAAAAAATTATTCTCCGAGTTATGTCGTTTTTAATAACTTTCTGTAAATTATGAATAAGCATAGCACAATTTTGAATTCAACAGATTTTCAGTTTACGCCAATTTTTTTAAATTAAAGTGGTAGTATTTGCATAATTCTCACAGCAAAACACAGCTTTCAGCGGTTTGTCAAAATAATTACAGAGGTAACTAAATTATTATCATAAAATGTATTTCTTATAATTAAAAAATTAACATGAAATTTTCTTGAGCATTACAATAATTTGGTAGCTTAAATACGGATAGAAAAATCTGTAGCTAAATGGTGAAGACCTTTAAGAATTAAGTGAGTGATAAAGCATGAAAATTTCCATTTGCTTTGATGTTTAGTTAACTACCACTTTAATATCTTTGGCAGATTATTAAGAGCCCTTAAGATAAAGTAATAAAGCACAGCATCCATATACACCTGAAAAAATTAAAAAGCGGTAGCAATATTAAGATAAACAATTCACAATTTATTGTGTTTTCCTATTACTAGAATATTTTAATAACTATAAGTAAGTCTATCTTGATCGTTAGGCGATGGATTTGAATTTTTATCTCTTAAGTGAAAGTAAAGGCTACCAAAGGCTAATTTTTCAGTGGCTTCGTTGCAAAATTGTTACAAGTTCTTATTTTTCTTAAGTGCATGCGAGCCATGAAGTAAGAAGAAGGAAATAAATAAATAAACAAAAATTTATATAATTTAGCGAATTTTTGATTAAGTATTTTTTGGATTTTAAAAAATAATAAGAGGAGAGCACATAATATTTAGAGTTTTATCACTTTAAATAATTTGAATACTTGATTTACAAGCAAATGATAAAATACTGAATTGCCCCCACTTTTATTTTTTCAATAAATAGATGAAAAAATCTGCGTATAGCAATAAACCCTTAATCTTTGTTATTTCTTTTACCTCGAACTACCGCGGAATTTCTGTAGCTCAACCCATTGATATTTTTCGGAACTGCAAATTTCTATTTTATTTTATAACCATCGTTGAACAGCAGACCCAAATTTTGGGTATTACGACTAGTAATGTTCAACACCGTGGCCTTGTAATTTTGAACCCAACTCAGAAGACAAGGGAACTCCTGGATCAAATATTAGGGGAAATTTGCCTTCGTGGAGGACTTTTTGATGGAACTAACCCGCATTTGCGTTACATGGAGTGGAAGATCCCGAGAACCTCCCACGGTTAGCCTGACGGCAAAGAGACTCTTAACCCATGATCCGTCTGTCAATGAGGATATTTCATGTCAGCACTGTGGTCGGTATGGTTTCGACTAGCTATCGCTGGGATCGAACCCGTTTTACCTCGTTGGAAGGTCGAACCGGGTCACCTCATTGGAAGGCGAACACCTGAGTCATCACTGCTCGCAATCAATTTATTTTATTTTATAACCGTCGTTGAACAGCCGACCCGATTCTTGGTTTACGACTTCAAATGTTCAAATCCGTATCCTTGTAATTTTGATTCTAATTCAGAAGACAAGGGAGCTCCTGGATCAGTACCCTCAGAGGTATTGATTTGTTATGGGAACTGAACTTGGAGGACTTCGCAACCCCGACAAATTTAACGTGCACCAGTCACCATTTAATACATGGAGATTCTTCGGCCGGCTAGATTCTAACTTCCTTTCTCACAAACACGAGTCCAAGAAGATATTTTACGTCAACACTGTGGTCGGTGCAAGCCTGATGAGGAAATCGTTTCGACCAGGTATCGCTGGGATCAAACCCGTTTCACCTCATTGGAAGGTGAACGCTCTATTTCTTAAGCCATCGAGGCTCCGTCAGCAAATTTCAATTGAAAAAATTTTTTAGCCAGGCAAGACATATTGGCAAAAAGCGATCGCATTGCAAGATCGATTGGCAAGTGTGATCACATACAATACATTCTATGTGAAGGGACACACTTTAGCAGAGATGCCAACCGCACCGGATTCTACAAAATATTTTAAACAACGGTAGAGTTTACGCAGTGGTCGCGAAAAGCCGTAAACCCACTGCACGGATCGGCTGTCGGTAAACAACCAAACAAACAACAAAACCTGCGGTAAACAACCAAAGAATTATAAACTAAAATTTGCATATTTTCGGTTAATTTTGATAACTTTTTAAAAGACTCAATACAAGTAACAAAAAGGCGTTTCAGATAAGCCTTTGAATTATTTACACTTTCGATGTTAATCCTGTGCCAGCGCGAGACAAAATTCTTCCTACCAGTTGTATTTGTAGTGTCTATAAAACAGATCAAGTGATAGCAAGATGCATGTTCTCATCATCCCACTTTTTTGAAGAAAATATAATATTTTATCTCGACAAAAACACTGGTTATTGAAATAAGCTTATTATGAATTTTAAAAACTAATGTGGTTACAAAAATAAGAAATTTAACTTTTATTTTATCCTAATAGATAACCACTTTTCAGTGGTAGATACAACATAAAATTTGTACTTAGCTCGCAGCGAATGTATTTTCATATCTTCTACAAACCTCATACTAGAAGAAGGTAGATAGCAACGAAATAAAAAAGTAATAGCAGTAAAATTTTAACCATGTGGTTTATATAGGAATAAGTTTCAAACAATTAAACAAATTGGATAAATATGACAACCAAAGCTGACGTCTTCAGGGGGTACCAGCTCCAGAAAGTCATAAAAGCAAAACCTTTTCTATCGAGAGAGCAAGACAAACGTCTAAAATTGCTCTCTCTGCACCAGNAGAATAAATGGCGTCTTTGTCCAGCTACAGAGGACGTGCGAAACAGATTGTACGCAGATTTGTGTTGAAAAAGGATTCGGAATCGAAACAAGCGAGTGCAAATTTTGTTGCAACAAGAATCCGGATTGCGGAAAAGATGGATATGTTGTAGTATGAGAATGTATAATAAATTTTTACATTGATGGATCATTATATAGTGTAGGCGCAGTTTATTTTATATGTGATGTGCGCCGTCCTTAAAAGAATAAAAAATTATTCTCCGAGTTATGTCATTTTTAATCAGTTTCTGTAAATTATGAATAAGCATGGCACAATTTTGAATTCAACAGATTTTCAGTTTACGCCAATTTTTTAAATTAAACTGTTGGTAGTATTAGCATAACTCTCGCAGCAAAACGCAGCTCTCAATGATTTGTCAAAATAATTATAGTGGTTACTAAATTATTATCATAAAATGTAATTTTTATGATTAAAAAATTAACATGAAATGTTCTTGATCATTACAATAATTTGGCCCCTTAAATCGTGAAAACATTTTACTTTTAAGTTAGTGATCCGCATGTCAATTTCCATCCGCTTTGATGATTAGTTAATTTCCACTTTAATATCTTTGGCAGATCAGTGGGAACCCTTAAGATAAAGTAATAAAAGTACAGGATTCGTACGTACCTGAAAAAAATTAAAAAGTGGTAGCAATATGAAGATAAAAAATTATAATTTATTGTGCTTCCAATTACTATAATATTTTAATAACTTTAAGTATATCTATCTTGATCGTTAGGCGATGGATTTGATTTTTTAACTCTTAAGTGAAGCAAAGGCTAATTTTTCAGCTGCTTTATTAAAAAATTGCTAAAAGTTTTTTTTTTAAAGTGCGTGAAGTACAAAGTAGGAAATAAATAAATAAAAATTTATATAATGTAGCAAATTTCTGATTAAGTATTTTTTAGATTTCAAAAAATCATAATGATATTTTGAATTTTATCACTTTAAATAATTTGAATATTTAATTTACAAGCAAATGGTAAAATACTGAATTGCCCCCACTTTTATTTTTTCAGTAAATAGATGAAAAATGCTGCGTATAGCAATAAACCCTTAATCTTTGTTATTTCTTTTACCTCGAAGTACCGCGGAATTTCTGTAGCTCAACCCATCGATCTTTTTCAGAACATAAAATTTCTGTTTCATTTTATAACCATCGATGAATAGCCGACCCAATTTCTGCGTTTATGACAATAATGTTCATCTCCGTAGCCTTGTAATTTTGAACCCAATTCAGAAGACAAGGGAACTCCTGGATCAAGTATTAAGAGAAATTTGCCTTCGTGGAGGTCTTTTTGATGGAACTAACCCGCATTTCGTTGCATGGAGAGCAAGACCACGAGAACCTCCCACGGTTAGCCTGCCGGCAAAGGGACTCTAACCCATGATCCGTCTTCCACTGAGGATATTTCATGTCAGCACTGTGGTCGGTGCAAGCCGGATGCGGATTCGTTTCGACTAGCCATCGCTAGAATCGAACCCGTTTCACCACATTGGAAGGCGAACGCTCTATCTCCTGAGTCATCGCTGCTCTAGCTGCAAATTTCTATTGAAAAAAATATTGGTCAGGCAAGACATATTGGCAAGTGCGATACATTCTATGAGAAGCGACACACTTTAGCAGAGATGCCAACGGCTGCGGATTCTACAAAATATTTTAAACAACGGTAGAGTTTACGCAGTAGTCGCGAAAAGCCGTAAACCGGATTCGCGGATCGGCTGGTCATCTGTGGTGACCACCTGTGCCGACTGGCCAAACAACGGTAGAGAATTATAAACTAAAATTTGCATATTTTCGGTTAATTTTGCCAACTTTTTAAAAGACTCAACACAAGTAACAAAAAGGAGTTTCAGATAAGCCTTTGAATTATGTAACACTTTCGATGTTAATCCTGCGCCAGCGAGAGACGAAATTCTTCCCACCAGTTGTAGTGTCTATAATACAGATCAAATGGTAGCAAGATGCATGTTACCATCATCCTCCTTTTTTGAAGGAAATATAATATTTTCTCCCGACAATAACACTGGTTATTGAAATAAGCTTATCATGAATTTTAAAAACTAATGTGGTTACAAAAATAAGAAATTTAACTTCTATTTTATCCTAATAGATTACCACTTTTCAGTGGTTGATACAACATAAAATTTGTAATCAAGCTGGCGGCAAACGTGTTTTCATAACTTATACAAACCTCATACCTAGAGGTAGGTACATAGCAACGAAATAAAAAAAATAATAGCTGTAACATTTTAACCATGTGGTTTATACAGAACAATTAAATAAATGGGAAATGAAAAAAATTGGATAAATATGACCAAACTGACGTCTTCAGGGGGTACCAGCTACGGAAAACATAAAAGCAAAACCTTTTCTATCAAGAGAGTAAGACAAAAGTCTAAAATTGCTCTCTCTGTACCAGGGACCTGTAAAGTCCTGCTGCAAAATGGAAAAAATAGAAAAATTTTTCCGCCTCAGGGTTAAAAATTGATGGAAAGAGTTAAAAAGAATTTAAAACATGAAGACTTAATAAGTTAAGACTTAATAGGTACAAGAAAACAACAGATGCACAATAAATGGTGAATATAAAAATTTTAATGAAATAGAATCCATATAATAATGATATAAATAAAATACAGACTATATTTTAGATTGAGTGAAAAGAGGCACTTAAACATAAAAAGCATGATTTCTTGGCTGAGTTATCAACTGAGCGTTTTCATGTTGCTCATGATTTTCTGATCATCTTCATCAAAGTTTTCGGGTGGTATGTACTCCACTTTCTTTAAATCATCCACTGAGACATCAGACAGGCACATTGGACACGTTTTATCAACAACGAGTGATCTAAAAAAATTGTTTTCTCAAAATTATATTTAATAAAAAATTACTATTTATACTTGAGACAGTAAATAGAAGTTATAATTTCAAGAAAATTACCTGTTTTTTTCCCCTTCCGAATAGAATCTTAATTTAAAACTATACACATTGTTTAAATACAAAAAAAAGTTTGACCTATGTATTTAAAAATTTCGTGTTTAACTTGGATTCCGAATTTCTATGGTAACACACGGGTGAAGTTAATGAAGTCACAACTTCTAGATGAACATTTTTCAATTGCCAATTGTGCATTTATGTTCAACATGGGAAAAATAATTAGTTCAGTTAGGTTATATGTCCACAAATGTTTTAACTGCTAAACTTGATGTGAAAAATAATGTAGTAAATTATTAACAAATTTCCACAGCCATTTTAACCTTAAAATTTTACGTAGTATCTAACATAAAGTATTGCAAATTTCCACAACAAGGTTTTGACAACTTTATAATGTTTTTTTCAACATTATTATCATTAATAATTTTTTTTATATAAGATAAAACAATTTTTATTAACTTTTTTTCTCTATTTGATTTTCTTTTTGGTATATGTTCCCCATTACTTGAACAAACTTTTATGTGCATTTGAGATACATTCTATTTTATTGACTGCATTGGGAAAAACATTCAATCAGTGCAGATCGGCAAATTAAAATGAAATTAATTTTAGACACACTAGAATCAGCAAGTTTCAAATAACTAAGTCGCAAAATAACAAGTCAATTAAAATACAAGAGTATTGATGGAAGATCTTAAATCTAACTTTTATATTAGGCTTTAGCTATGAATCTAAAAAACTAGGATCTTAAAAGTGCAACATATATGTATAATCATTACAAAATTTAAAAAGATTAATAAAAAAAAATATGTGTCTAAAAAAATGGCCTCAGGTAATTTTTACAATTTTCAAATAGCACAATACCATCAAATGTAATTAAATTAAAAGAATGAACTTGATAGATCATACTGCCAGAATGGATGAAAAAGATCCAGTAAAGAAGTTTATTTATGTCAAAGCCTTTCACATGTCAGAAAAGAAGGCCAAACCAACGATGGCTCGATTTCTGGAATCAGATTTTATTGGGGTAAAAAAATGGTAGTCCAGGTCAAAAAATAGGTTGTCCTGCAGGAATCTTCAGCAGAAGGCTCTGGCCTACCCTGGGTTGTCAGGCCAATTATGATGAGGATGAATTAAAAAAAATATAGTTTAATTTATTTCCCATATGAGAATAAAAGGACTCAAAATTGCTGAAAACTAACTGAAAAAAAAATAAAGCAATACAGGATAAAACAAGTTAAGTAAACAATATAAAAGTTTAGTATGAAATTTTACCAACTTAGAAAAAGAAAAAAGCTAGAGTTCACAACAACAATAGAGTGACATTATTATTCCCAAAATAACAAGTAAAACATGATATTTAAACCAGATAAGTTATAACCATACACTTGCTACTACCAATAGTTTTTCTGTTGTCTGAGAAATGCTGAGAATTCTGCTGTCTTGAAACTTACAGCTGGTATTGAGAAGAGTCAAAGTTCTATTTCAAAGGAATATCTTGACGTCGACCGACCTTCAAATCAATGATTAGCAACTTATTTGGAAATTGAAGATAACCAGATCACATGGCTGATCACATTTCCACCATTAATTGCTCGTCAGAACCTCCACAGTTTCTTTGGATGATAAATAATAGTTGCAAGTGTACTTTCAATAATGTTGCTGATCTTATATTTAAAAAATATAGTCAAACATTAATTATAAAGTATCAACATAATTTAAAAGCAGAATTATTTATCAAGTACACAGATTGCTTAACCAAATGTTTCTAATACTATACCCATAATATTATTATTTAATTTACCTCGAAAACTCGGAGAACATTGCAGGAAATTCACAGTTAGGGCAAATGGTGAGGTCATTCAGAACAATATGATAGCCCTAAAAATAAATATATAGTTCATACTATAATACACACATAACATTTTTCAATACTCCCAATATTCTTAAATATTAATTAATAAAAATGTCTCACAAATATATCATAACACATTTTTAATTAATAAGTTAATTCATAAAAAGAGAAAGAAAATGATAACGTTTTCCATGGACCACTCTTAAACATGAAAGAAAAGAGAAATAAAGAAAATATTATCTCTGTGCTTAAACAATGAGTACAATGTAATGTGCACAAATAAAAATAATCAAAAGACAACTGCTTTGATGTAATAAACAAGCAATATGATGTTTGATTATAATTGAAACAAACAAGCATTGTGCTCAACATTATTACTGATAATGTGTTTATAACATCAAAACAGAAGAATTTCTTCCTACCATTTCTATTTGCGAGTATTACGTATTTTTATTATTTTTTTTTTTCGTATTAAGCACGTAATACATAGTGAGGAAACTTAAAACATTTTCAACATAACACACTACGAGCAAATTACATTTAAAATTTCAAAATTTTAGAAATTGACATTTTAAACTTATTTTACATGAGGCTAAGAAATAAAAATGTTTCCAATTACCATAAGGTTTTCAAAAAAATAAAAATAAAATAAAAGTAAACAAAAAAAAAAGAAGAAAAGCCCAGAAGATTTCTTATCACATAAACATATTAGGTTTATTTAACATGTATAATTATTTTAATCATGTAACACTTTAACAAAAACAAAACTTACTGTAACAATACAATATGGCAAGTAATATTTACACTTCTCACAATATAATGTAGACTGTGGGATGGGATCTTCACAATAAGGACATGGCGTATTAAGATCATCTTCTTCAATTTTTTGGTATTTCCTGTGAAAGATATATCAATGATAGAAACTATAAAATAAAATGATTTAATTGAAAAATAAATACAGTAGACCTCAATTTTTAAGTTTAAAAACAAAAATTAACATCGATAAATCACTAATTTGATTTAGATTTATTCTGTTTTATGGAAGTGAATGCTGGGCAATAATCAAGTTGCATGAAAATAAATTATTGACCGTTGAATAGAAAATCTAACATATTGTTAACCGGTCACGACTTAACTCATCTTTTCCATGCCCAAACCTTGTTGTCCGAATATCAGTTAACTCGTCATTGTACTTGCAATGTTGAGTTAAGTTACCATCAGTCAACAACCTTTGGGCATGAACTCGATATTTAGAATGCTTTACTTCCATATTCAATAGCAAAGTAATAGCCGGTGAGATGACATACTTTTTGTGTAGAATTGTCAGTCAGCAAGGTATTAAGAAATATATTTGGTGCAATTCATGAGAATAATAGCAGAAGAACCTTGTTTAACTTTGAAATTTACTAAAAGTACAAGCAAACTTGTATTGTTAAAGTCATAAAATGCAATAGACTACGATAGTTCTGATATCGATTCCGATCTGATAATACAAACCCAATAAAAAAAGCTAACTTTTACTAATCTCGTGGGCAACAGAAAACGAGGAAGTCCACCAATTAGGTGGCTTGACTCGGTGGAGAAAGCCTTTAGTCTTGTCCTGAAACCTCCAGCAAAAGCTTCCCTAGTAAATAAGGGAAACTGCATCAGCCTTGCTGCAGATAGGACTAGTTTGCAAAGACTACTTGGGATGACCTTGTCCTGTAACAGACTGTAATAACTTGAAAGAATAAGAAAAACCTCGATTTAACGACGCTGGTCTGACAGGACAAAAACATCTAAATTATAGAAGGGGACATACAAATTCTAAAGCAAATTTAATTATATTTTGTCAAATACAATCTAAAACTTTAATATAATTTATTCAGTAAAGAAGAACATTTTTCTCTGAGTAACCTTTTTTTTTGTCTTAAAGTATGCAATGAATTTTCCAACAATTTCAAGGTGAGACTATGTCTCTCTATTGTTCTTCATGTCACTGAATGAAAATTTTTAGTCTCAGTTGCTTCATTAAATGATTGTGTTGGATCTAAAGATTCACAGTCTTCTTAATCACTACTAGATTCAGCTATTAAAATTGTGATTGATAAGTCATCAGATTGTTATCAGCCAGGGCATGATTTCATTTTTCAAAATCAATAGTAAATTTTGCTAGTTCTTAAAAATACTACTAGTAAAACCAGGGTTCATCTAAGCATTTTTAAAAGCAGTATTAAAAAACATTTTGTGATGGAGAAAATTCAACATAATCATCGCTGTGTAACTTATTGTAAAAAAAAAGAAAGTAAAGAAAAACGATCATTGAAAGATAAATATTAAAAATTTATATTTGTAGGAAAGTTTAGACACTCAAATGTGTTATTCTGAATACGTCGGCTGTAATAATATTACACTTAAAATATATACATTACAACTAACTGCAAGAACTGCAAAACAAATGATTAGTAAATGACACTTATTTAGGACAGCATGGTAGCGAATTGAGCAAAATGATTAGACAAATTCATGTGTCATAATAACATCATTTTAAAATATCTTTATTGAAAAACTATGAGAAAAAGACCGTATAAAAGGAAATTAACTACCGAGAAAATGGACTGAAAAGGATGTAGATGAACAATGAAATAATCGTAACTAAATCCCGCCAAATTTTTTTTATTAAAATTCGAAATTTGGAGACCGGAATATCGTATTAAAAAATCGGAATTTAATAAATCATCTTACAACAGCACGAAAAAATGCAAATAAAATAAACAATCAAAAAAGGAAATGGAATTGCGACTGAATCAACTGAGTGCATCAAAAAATTAATAGTAAAATTTGAAATTCAAGTGTCGTAATAACTTATTAAAAATAAAAGAATTTTGATGTCCTCATAAAAATGTCGTGAAAACGAAAAAAAAGCTAAATTAACTGCCGAGAAAACGATCAGAAAACGTCGGGGATTAACGACAGAATAGCTTCGAATCAAACAGTGATCACTCAAATTCGAAAAAAAGAATAACTGTCAAAAAAAAAACGAAGATTTTTGAGGAAATCTTAGTTAATTGAGAGTATCAAGAAAAGACAACTCTAGTTCGAAATTCGCTTGTCGTAACAACAATGTATTAAAAATGCTGAATTTCAAAACTCACATGCCAAAAAGACAAAAAAACCGTTCGAAAATTCAGACCATTAGAAGTTACCAGCAATTTTTGCTATTGCACTTTTCTAATCAGCTTGTAACTAGCATTTGTTTATTTTTTTAACTAGTAATTTTCTACTTGCAAGTCGATGAAATCCAGACCTAGTTGTCACATTGCAAATATTCCATTAAGTCGGTATCGGCATTCTGTTCTAATATGCTGTCATTGTTTAATTAGGTCAGAACTGATGAAAAACTACCTTTTACAAAACTATTCACAATACTGTCTTCAGAAACTGTTTTCCAGGCAGATGATAGTATGTTTAAAACTTTGACAGAAAAATTAGGGAGCCCTTAAAAGTTAAATTAACACTAAATAAATATATTCATTTTTCCCAGGACATTTAGGTGGGGCCTTGGACATCAGCCCTAAATATCCTCACGTAAATCAGTCTCTGAGTACTGGTGTATTTTTAGTTTCTATTGGAATATGTTAGATGACGAAAAACAAAAAAGGAAAATTTACCTTACAATATTTTCAATTTTTCTTTTATATTTTGGATCAAGTTTTGATCGGTATTCAGGTCGCATTAACATCACTGCAGCTTTGTGGGCAGATATATGAAGACCAGCTTTTTGGCATTCAACTACAGTTGTAGTTAATATCTGAACATCATCTGAAAATAAATAAACAATTACCTGATTTATACACAGATTTGAATTTNCTTGTCTGGAGAAAGCCTTTAGTCTTGTCCTGAAACCTCCAGCAAAAGCTTCCCTAGTAAATAAGGGAAACTGCATCAGCCTTGCTGCAGATAGGACTAGATTGCTAAGACTACTTGGCCTTTAGTCTTGTCCTGAGAAAGCCTTTAGTCGTCCTGAAACCTCCAGCAAAAGCTTCCCTAGTAAATAAAGGAAACTGCATCAGCCTTGCTGCAGATAGGACTAGATTGCTAAGACTATTTGGCCTTTAGTCTTGTCCTGAAACCTCCAGCAAAAGCTTCCCTAGTAAATAAGGGAAACTGCATCAGCCTTGCTGCAGATAGGACTAGATTGCAAAGACTACTTGGGATGACCTTGTCCTGTAACAGACTGTAACGATTTGAAAGAATAAGAAAAACCTCTATTTAACGACGCTGGTCTGACAGGACAAAAACATCTAAATTATAGAAGGGGACATACAAATTCTAAAGAAAATTTAATTATATTTTGTCAAATACAATCTGAAACTTTAATATAATTCATTCAGTAAAGAGGAACATTTTTCTCTGAGTAACCTTTTTTTTGTCTTAGAGTATGCAATGAATTTTCCAACAATTCCAAGGTGAGACCATGTCTTTCTATTGTTCTTCATGTCAATGAATGAAAATTTTCAGTCTCAGTTGCTTCATTAAATCATTGTGTTGGATCTAAAGATTCGCAGTTTTCTTAATCACTACTAGATTCAGTTATGATTAAAATTGCGATTGAAAAGTCGTCAGACTGTTATCAGCCAGGACATGATTTCATTTTTCAAAACCAATAATAAATTTTGCTAGTTCTAAAAAATACTACTAGTAAAACCAGGGTTCATCTAAGCATTTTTAAAAGCAGTATCACAAAACATTTTGTGATGCAGAAAATTCAACATTAGTAAATGGCACTTATTTACGACGGCATAGTAGCGAATTGAGCACGTCAAAAAATGATTAGACAAGTTCATGTGTCATAATAGCATAATTTAAAAAATATCGTTGTTGAAAAACTATGAGAAAAAGACCGTATAAAAGGAAATTAACTACCGAGAAAATGGATCGAAAAGGATGTAGATGAATAATGAAATAATCGTAAATAAATCATCAAGAAAAGACAACTCTAATTCGAAATTCGCGTGTCGTAACAACTATGTATTAAAAATGCTGAATTTCAAAAATCACGTGCCAAAAAGACAAGAAAAAAACGTTCGAAAATTCAGACCATCAGAAGTTACTAGCAATTTCTGCTATTGCACTTTTCTAACTAGCTTGTAACTAGCATTTGTTTATTTTTTGAACTAGTAATTTTCGACTTGCAAGTCGATGAAATCCCGCCCTTGTTATCACATTGCAAATATTCCATTAAGTCGGTATCGGCATTATGTTCTAATATGCTGTCATTGTTTAATTCGGTCAAAACTGATGAAAAACTACCTTTTCCGAAACTATTCACAATACTGTCTTCAGAAACTGTTTTCCAGGCAGATGATAGTATGTTTAAAACTTTGACAGAAAAATTAGGGAGCCCTTAAAAGTTAAATTAACACTAAATAAATATATTCATTTTTCCCAGGACATTTAGGTGGGGCCTTGGACATCAGCCCTAAATATCCTCACGTAAATCAGTCTCTGAGTACTGGTGTATTTTTAGTTTCTATTGGAATATGTTAGATGACGAAAAACAAAAAAGGAAAATTTACCTTACAATATTTTCAATTTTTCTTTTATATTTTGGATCAAGTTTTGATCGGTATTCAGGTCGCATTAACATCACTGCAGCTTTGTGGGCAGATATATGAAGACCAGCTTTTTGGCATTCAACTACAGTTGTAGTTAATATCTGAACATCATCTGAAAATAAATAAACAATTACCTGATTTATACACAGATTTGAATTTCTCGATTTTTATTTATCATTTGAAACTAAGCTAGCTTTAGATTGAATTTTCCATGGGAAGAAATAATTATTGTGACAAATACAAAATACTGATTTTTTGAATACTACATTGAACAACATATTGAATGTATTTGGGGAGTTTTCTTCCTGAAAGGATAAGATTGAATTTATAAAAATGATGTAGAAACTGTGCATGTTATGAGCAATTGATATAGCATTTTATTCCTACAGATCACATGGTAATTTGCAATTACAGAATTTATAACTTGATTGACAAAGACAAGAGAAATACTAATTTATGTTATTAAATAATATTATTTTAAAAATGAGATACTATTGTTTTCAAAAAACATGCTATTGTTTTCAAAAAACATGCTATTGTTATTATAATATAAAACATTTTTTGTTACTTATCCCTTTGATCTAAGCGGGACTTATAAATATATTTTTTCTAAAGCTCAAATTACAAGCAAAAAAATATTTTTGTACTTTTTATTTATAAAAAAAACAGTCTAATAGAAGTTACTATAAGAATCTGTAAGATTCTCAGTTATCTGATTATATATTTATCAGAATTATTTCAAATCTGTGTCTAATGCAGCATTTCGCAACTCTAAAATGTTAAACTGCTTTATAATATTCTTCACTTATTATGAAAGGGTTAATAACAGACCTCAACTTCAGGATATTTTATCAATTCCTAGTTCTTTCTCTAGATCAACTCTTACACAAGAAGCTAATATAGGTAAGTATCAGTAATAAATATGAATCAGCATATAGACTTGAGATATAGACCAACTATTGGCATTTCTGGGCTGAAATTTAGTCAGGTAACAGAAACTTTGTCAGTATTTCAATGGCTGAATCATTCAATATTGCTGTATAAAGCTTTAATTTTCCTTTTTTATTTAGTCCTATTTAAATATGAATAATAAACAGTTTGAACACAAAAAATGAGTTTTTTATAATAAAATTTAAGTCATCTTTATTTCCCTTTAAGTGGGAAAATAGCAGAGTGAGTGAATTAAATTTAGCTGAAGTGTAATATTTTTGAAATGATAAGTTTTTAAATAAATTCTAATTTATTAATCTGAAAAATATTAAAGCTAAAAACAGTTGATTAAAATCATTTTGGAATACTAATAATTATTTGTTAAGAACATGGCTGTCCGGCAGCATGTTAAATTACCCGCCATCCTATGCCACTATTACGTCAGGAAAATGCAACCAAAAATATAATAACAATGTTAACGATAAAGTTGAAGCTCAGACATAAGAAAGTTATTTATGTTTGATTTAAGATTTTACAAGATTAGAAATGATTAATATTAAATATGAAAAACTTTATGAGTTCTTTTAATGGGTAAAATACTTCAGATACTATTTATTATGTTGAATTAGATAAACATTGTTAAATTAAGTTATTATACTTTCTACATAGGCTAAGGTAAAACTTAATAATATGGTACTTAGGTTTATCTAATTAAATATTGTATCGATTTAAATAAATATTGTTAATAGGGAGAATTACTTAGTTTAATATAGGGCATGGGATTCAAATAAAAATACGCTAATTGCCAACAATCTTTCATGAACAATACTATGCCAAACCTGTCTGAAATGAACAAATCTCTTTTGAAACAGATATAATTCTATAACAGAATGGAAACATTAGTTATAGAGAATATAAGTCACTGGAAAAAGTTTCAGAAACAAAATGGAAATAAGAATAAATCCAAAAACAATATTAACATAACCTCAATAAATTAATTTTAAAAAAAAGATGTACATACGTCTTGGAAACTTATTCAGATTGTTTGATACTCTAATCAACATCCGAGCACCATTCATGTGATCTCCCCTTTGCATATGCAGCTAAATGGAATCATACAGAATAATAGGGATGAATATATTAATATGTAAGTTTTAAATAAAAGTAAACATTAAGTAATATATAAAGTACAACAATGTCATTTAACTTGTATATAACTTGTGCAAACAAAATAAACAAACCACTTTAAATAACATTTGATCTTAATGTTCTAGGACTCAATCGTAATACTTCGCGAGAGTGACCTCAGATATGCTAACTTATTAGTTTTAAAGTTACAAAATCAGACACAAAAACTTACTTTCTCTGAATAAATCTCCCCCCCCCTGTTCTATCAATGGATTTGGATTCTTGATCCTCAAAATATATGGTCCAACTAGCTTGTTCAGGAGAGTGGTCCAAAGTTTAGACCACTAAATGTTAATTTCACTTTTTGCATATTTATTATTTTACTTTTTTTGTAAATTTTTCATTTTGCGTATTGTGCATATTTTTGAAAAAATTCTGCACACAAAAATAGATAAATAAATAAAATAAAATTCCTTTAACCAAAGACAATTACATGCAAAAAATAGCTTTTTGTAAATATTCATTATTTTTTTTAATTATTTTAAAAAATGTATAATTTTACGGGGTAAAATACAAAATTTGAGCAAAATTGGTCGAAAAGTTACTGAGAAGTTGAATACAGCTTTTACAAAAATACAGCTTTTAAAAATTACAGCAAAATATAGCTTTTTTAAAATTCTATTTCTTAGGAAGTAAATATTGCTTTAAATATTAATATTGTATTTGATTCTTAATTAGCCTATTTGAGGTCATTTCAAAGGATCTTTAAGAGCGTGAAGATCTGATCATTAGATCAAAAGTTATTCAGGGTGGCCTGTTTTTTATTTTGCACATTGTACAGTTATACACATTTATTATAGATGACAACTTGTAAATCACTAAGACAAGTTTTTCTTAGTGAAGTGGCAGTGGTGATCTTAATTTTCAAAGTCAAAAAAATAATTGTTTTATCCACTAAGATAATTTAGTAATTTTATCATATGTATTATCTATTAATTAGTGAGTTATGCATTTAAGTAACGATGAAATAGTTTAATGTTTAGAAATTCTTCCCATTTTAATGATTATTACTTTGTAAAACTTTTCTTAACAACTGCAAAGTAGGCATTTGTGATACATATATAAAAATGTTATTGTATTAACCATGTCAAACTAAATACAAGTCTTAGGTTACCGGCATTCTCTTTTTAATTGGTAATCAATGTGGTCTTAGTATTGCAACTCTAACATAAAACTATAGAGGGTTGTGAGATTTTCACAAGAAATACAAGATACTAACAATACAACAAGATACAATAGTATAACTAGATACAACAGTATAAGATACTAAGATCAGATATATTTCACAAAAAACTTACAAGAAAAAGAATTATTCAGAGTTACAAAGATTTTATAATGCATTTTTTTAAAAAGAAAATCTAATGCAGAAATTGAAAAATAATAAACAGAACAACTCTTAAATGAGACACACTAAACATTATCTTTTAGATAAAGAAAACTAAATAACAACATCAAATATAATTTAATTTATTCTTAATTAGCAATTAAGAATTTTATAATTAATGATTAAATTTAGTATACTATAAAATATTAAATAGTTAATGATTAATCAGTACACTATAAAATATTTAATCAAACATTTAAATACTTATTTCCTGCTTTTTTTTAGTTTTAAAATAATAAAAAAAGATCACCTGATATATTAATCCTAGAACTTATATCTATGAACTATGTAATTAAGAGAACACAAATCATCTATGAAATTTTGAGGCACACAGGAATTAAAAGAGAACAAAATGAACAACTTACTACTAGAATCTATTTAACATTACTGGGTATGAAATAGATTTTTGAGTTAAATGGATTTTTATAACAGCAGTAACAACTTTAGCATACCATCAAATATTACACTGAACATTCAGATACTAAGCTACGCTTAATACTAATAAAATTTACAGAATAAATTAATCAATAATAAAACTAATAGATTACCTTAATGTTCAATAAACAAATACATCCAATTTAGTTTTTAACATAATTTCAATTTAAACATAACAAACATCAAGCAATAGTCTAAGTTAGTGTTGAGAATATATCAATTGAGAAAAGTCTTATACAAAATTAATATCAACCCAGTTATAATTGTATACCAATAAAACCGAAGTATAAAAAGAGATAACCAATTAGCTGAAAGCATTTCATAACTGCTTTTTCTCAAAATAATTTTAATAAACTTTAACAACAAAAAGAAATTAAAATTCCAATATGTAGAGGCACAAATTAAAGTGTTGAAAACGTTTAAATTTTTTTACATTTCTCCAAAATTTCTTTCCATTTCATTCAAAATAAATGTAGATCAAAGGTTTATTTAAAAAGTATAATTTTAGTTAAAAGTTTTAAAGTTAAAAATGCAAGTATAATCTCAGCAGTGAAAAAATCATGAGATAATTTTTTCTGCTGTGAAAGTTTTAAACCAGCAATAATTTAGTTTTACTAAAGAAAACTAAGTATGGAGAAAATATTATTATTATTTTTAAATCAAAAATGTCAAACACCGTCTGTTAATATTTAAGAATAATTGATATTATTTTGATTACATTAAGGATTATTATAATTAATTGTAACAAGACAATTTTTCTTCCATTTGAAAAAAGGTTGAAAGATAAAAAGATCCCTGAAATACCTACTTTTGCAAGACTGTAACTATGGAGCAACATTAAACTTTGGGACATTCCAATTGGGATTTTCATGCTTTTTTCTTTAAGTTTAGCATACATGCTTAATAGCAAGAGGCGAGCCTTTTTATAGGTACCTGTAATATATAATTTAAAAACTTTTTTAATAAAATTAATAATTAAAAATATTAGTAAATGAGTTATGAAATATTTTTTAATTGATTAATTAACAGATGTGATTAATTTATTGACATGCTTAAGTTAATAAATACCTGAATTTTGTTCAGCATTAGCCATAATTACAGCAGTTCTGGCAGCTTCTTTTATTTGTCCCAATGATAAATATAGGTGATAAATATGCTGCAAATCCTACATAAACAAGGAAAGGGGCATAAATACTAAAAAAAAAATAATTAAAAGAACTAACATAAGTGACTTCAAACACTATAAAATGAAAATTAAATAAACTGTCATTACATACTTAACAATCACGTTTTTTTATTAACTAACAAAATAAAATAAACAAAAAAATGGCATTAATGGAGATTACTTCATATATTATTTTTCACAAATTTTATAATAAAATGAAGAATTTGTGTGTCTGTCAGTGAGTATGTGCATCTCTTATAACTCCAGAACCAGTTTTGCAACTATCCTGAAACTTAGACAATAGCTGAAAGGGGTAATTTGAGCTCTCCATCGTAAAATTAGTTTAAAAATTTCAATTAAATTACTTCAGGGGGACATTCGAAAAAGGGAATTTTCTGATTGGTTTAGCATCAGCCATTGTAGAAACATGACAAAAGGGTGGAGATGGTCTCCAAGCAGCTGAAGATACCGCTGACCAGTCAATGTGGCCTCCAGAACGACCAGGGGGCCCATTCCATGCCACGAAAATGCACCCCACACCATGACTGATAGGCCATCGGCCTGGACTGTGCCCACTTGGCATGCTGGATCCATCGCTTCGTGCGGTGTGTGCTACACACGGTGTCTCCCATCAGCATGGAACAGTTGATAACGTGATTCATCAGACGAGATCACGTTACGCCACTGTTGCAGTGTCCATCTGTGGTGATTGGTGGCAAATGCACGCCGAATTAACCGATAACGCTGGGTTAGCAGTGGCACACGTGTGGGGCGACGGCTCTCATACCCGAGCACATGCATGTTCCGACGGATTGTCCACTGAGACACGTCTCTATCACGGCCAGTGTTGAATTCAGCCGTGATTTGTTGCACATTTGCTCTCCTATCTCGAGTTGCCACTCGTCTCAGGTTTCTCCTGTCTCGGTCATTTAGGGCCTGTGGACGGCCGGTATGGTGTCTCTTGTGGACTGTGACACCCTCATTCACCCATTCTCGGTAAACTCTCGACACGGTTGACCTTGGGAAGCCGAATTCCTGAACCACTTCACAAATGAAATGTCCCATGCGTCGGGCACCAACAACCATGCCGCGTTCGAATGCCGTCAACTCACGCCGACGTTGCATTTTACCTGATCACTCACACAGCCACTTCAAGCAATGTCTAACACACAACTGAGATCGCCGCGGAGGCCACCAGGTGGCGTTGATCACACGTGCTGTCCATCCACAAATCAGAGCCCTGCTATCCCATGAGTTTTGCTCAGTCAGTGTATATTTGGTACCTATAAAATTGCATCAATACAGTGTAGTTTTATAATAGATATTGTGGAAATAGAATTTTTACCCTCTCCCCTGAAAGTGATAAGTACTGAAGAAAATTGCTTGATTGTGATAAATTTTCACTATTAACAGTTGGCCAAGAGCAACTGCATCATGTCAAATGATACTCTACGCAGTTAATCTTTATTTTGATAGGATGAACTACTAAAATTTAAAAACAGGTTTCACTCAATCTAATAGTGCAAATACTGAAGAAGGGAAACAAAAAATGATAAATAAAATTGGAATTATTTTCGCTTTATTAATTGTGTTGGTGTATGTCTTTCAATTTTGTTGAAGATTGAAAATTTATTTAGTATTAATTTATAATTTTTTTTTTCATCATGTAATTCAGCTAGCATTTATATTAAACAACATATTCTTTAAATTTAGAACTAAACATTTAATAATTATTTAAGAAAAAGAGGAATGAGGAAGTAATTATTCATTAAGTTGCCTCACGTCCCTTACATAAGACATTGTTTATTCAGATTAAGTATTTGGCCTAGGGCACAGTGTATATTAAGTACTAGCTTTGAGTAACCCTTTTAAATTGTTTAAAGAACAACTTAAGAAAATTAATTATCTAACATAAAAATCGATGAATTTATATTATTACTAGGTGAAAAGTTTGGTACCTTTACTGTTCCATCTGTTTCTCCCATGATGTGACTAACAAGTTGTTTGGTTATTTGCTCATCTTTAGCTTTTCCAGCTACTTGGATAGCCAGATTAATAGCTTCATCTTCATCTTGTCCTGAAACTTCCAGCAAAAGTTTCACAGCCTAAAAGAAAAGGAAGAGATAAAGGATAAATGTATAATGCATAACCTAACATTCCTTTTTTTTAAGAAAAAACAAACAAATAAAATTTAAGAATAAAAATATTAGAAATATTACTTTTTTAAAACCATAATTAGTGAAGCATAAAAATGTCAATGGAAAATGTGTTTTTAAAATATTAAACACAAACCATACTATGAGAGTCACTAGAAACAAAATTAGGAAAAATTAAAAAAAAAGAAGATTTTTAGGTAATTTTAAGTAAGTATAAACTTTAATGAACAAAATATAAAAAAATTTCGTGATTAAAAACTTAAAAATTTTTTTTGTCATTAACGAATGCAAATTAAATTTCAAAAAAATTATCCAATTTTCCATACAGTATATTTAGGATGGTTTTAATTAACAAAAATATAGAGAGAGATTCAAAATTAAACAAAATTTACAGTTACAAACCAATAAATTAAAGAATTTGTCAAAATATGTCATTTTGTCACACATGAAAACAAAAACTTAGAAAAAAATACTTTTGAATACTTTGTTGTTTGCTTACATTCTACTGGCGAATTAAAAATGTTTCAGAAAAGATTTTCAAAAATAAACAAACCTTTTTAAATCGCTGAGCCAGCATAAAGTACTTTCCAGCTTTAAGGAAATTCCTCTTTTCTTCAAAGTGAACAGCAATATTTATGAAGTCAGTGGGGTCTCTATTTTCTCCAATAGCTTCAGCATATACATCCATGTTATTTGTTTCCTGAGCAACTTGCAAGGCTTCTTTCAAACAGTTTGATATCACAAGGAACTTGATTGCTGATCCACTATCATTATGCTTTTGAAAGAACCTAAAAACAATTGCTGAATTATGAACTTAAATATTTTAACTCTAATAAAATGAGACATTTTTAGATAAAGAGAAACTTTTTGTTTAGATTATTTATTTTTATTAGTAAATAATTTAAACAATATATTACTACTAGGGGACTAAGCCAACTAGTAGCACTCACTAACAATGATGATTGCTTCGTAAAAATTATTCAGAGAAAGAAATTTCCCGACTTTTCTAGGTACATCAGATCCATTTCAATGAAAATCCACACCATATTTTATCCATACATGCAATTTTTCATCAGAAAACTTTGATTTTTTTTTATTTGTGATGTCAAATATTAGATTGTATGAGCAAACACATATAATAGAATGAGAATGGAAACGTTTCTTCAAAAACATTTAATTTTTTAAAATAATTGTAATGGATTTTAGAATTATTTAACTTGAATCTAAATAACTGTTACTCACAATTCTAAGGCTGCTATTTTCCAGGTATGATATAGGAATTTTCCAGCTTTTTTGTAAAAAATTGAGACTATTCCCTGTTTTTGAAATTTAAAATAAAATACAAGCACTTTAAAAAATTCTGTTCGTTTATGATTGTGCTCCCACTTTCCACATCCAATATTTAATTCTTCAAATTAAATGTTTAAATTCTTTAAATTAAATATGCTGTTATTTATAACAAATTTGATAGAGCAACTTTCATAAATACATGATACTTAAGTATCTAACTATAAAGTATACATTTTAACAAGGATTTAACCTTAGTTTCATTAAAACTTATCCAAGAAAAAAACGATTTCCATAACAAAAGAAAATTCTTGATACTTCAAACAGTAATATATAAAATAATATTTACATTGCAACCATTCTAGCACCTTCAACCGAGTTTGTAGTTTTCACAATTCGCACAGCAGAATCAGGATCTTTTAAATTATCTAAGTATATTCTGGAATATAAAAATAAAACGTTGAATAAAATGAAAGTTAATTTATTTGAAGGAAAAAAAAATCTGAGAAAAATACCTTATAGCATCAGCATATTCAAATGCATTTTCAAAAGCACGGGCGGCTTCTGCATAATTTCCTTCTGCATCTTGAGCTTTAGCGTATTGGGCGTGGATTTTAGGCGAGGACACAGAAGGTAAAAGCTCCTTTACTTTTTTCCTAAATTAAAAAAAAATCCATAAAATTCTTCAATTCTTTTAAAATATGAAAGTTTTAATTACCTATTTCATACATACCAATTCCTTTGTTTTATGTACAGAGTAGCAGCATTGTCGATACAGCCTCCTTTTTCATACAGTGAAGCAGCATCAGATGTAAGCTGAATGTAATAAAAAACACTATACAGTTTGAAATATTTACACTCGTAAATGATTATTAGTGTTATTTCATTAAAAAAAATTATATATGTATTATTCGCATTAAGTGGGTTTGTTTTTTTCTCAATCTGTTATCATATGAATATTCAGAAAATTTTCCTAAAGCAATAAATTTTTATAAAGCATTTATTTCAGGTGCATTCAATTAAAAATAGTGAAGGAGCTGAAATAATATAATGAAGCTATAAGCAGTAAAAACAGGGTGCGTAGCTAAATTTTTCAACAAAAATAAGCACTTTTTAAGTACTTTTTAAGCACTGAAAAATTATTTTTAAGTACTATATACATTAACAAAATGCAAAATAATTTTCAAAGACTTCACATAATCATGATAAAATAACCAGTTTCTAGCAAAGAAGTCTTTTTCTTGATTATATTAGCCATTATAAAATGACCTAGAGATTTTTCGGTTTGATATGAGAGGGTGGAAAATGAAGCCTCAAATTGAGAATATCTTGCAAAATGCAGCAGAGTTGCACATGAGAGTGCAATAATCTCACCGAACCCAGCTCAGTACTGCAGACTTGCAAGTATTTCATCAAACATGTAAGTAGCTTTCATACGCTATGACCAACGGTACGCCGAAATCGATTGTGGTTGAAGGAATTGTGAAAACGTTGAACAATTTCACATGGTATAGAAAAAAAATCCATGTTGGAAAAAGGAAAATTAAGTACTTTTTAAAAACACCCAATGAAAAAAAGCACCTTTAACGGCTTTTAAAAAACGAAAATAAGCACCTTTAAGTACTTTTTAAAAATGCTACGCACCATGAAAAAGCTGAATAGGCAAGTTATTTCAATGAATACACAATTCCTGTAAAATATAACTTTAAAAATCAAGCACTATGATTTTATTGCTGGCTATAGTCACCAAAATTAAAAAAATTTTCTGTTAAAAAAATAACAAATTAGCTCAGTGAAATTTGAGAAAATATAGGCATCATCATAAACATGTTCTTAAGAATTGAATTAGGTTTGTTGTAGAGTTTACTGGAATTGATTCCAGGATTGGCTACACAACACTAAACTTTTATATTATATCAAGGACAATGGAAACAAATAGTGCTATTAGCAAATTCTAGTTTTATGTGAAAAAAATAGAAAAGATAGCTGGAATGATTTTTGCAAAATATAGTATTAAAGTTCTACAGTTCTTGCTTGCTCATACTAAAATGTTTGATGAGAATTATATAATGAGTTACGAGTTTCAGTTTGAAAACAAATTTTCCCATAGAATTTGCAGATAAATATTAATTGATTGATCTCATTTTCATTAAAAACTTTTTTTAAAGAAAATTATGGAACATAAGCTCAGCTCAATTATTAAGTCAGTAATCGTTACATTTTTAATTTAATGATAAAAACAAAAATAAATTCTAATCAAGTTGAAAGTTAAGTCACTAGGAGGGGAACCAAGACTGTTCCTTACAGGCCAAAACCAACATAAATTTTTTTTCACAAAACAAATCATAGCCTAATTTACAGAGTATCTGATCTCAAATAGTTTCTCTTTTGTTGCTACATTTTAAAATTAACGTGAATAGATTTTACAAAGTAATAATTCAAAGAAACACAAAACTGTAGTAAATAAAATTTTACATTTCAATTGCAATTAACTATTTAATATTTGCACAAAATATGTATAATAAGTTACATACTTGACACCACACCACAGACATCTACCTCTCTTACTGACTACATTAAAAATCAAAATTTGCACTAATTTCAAAACTACACATGTGTGTGTTATGAGCTGGCTAGAGTGCTAATGAGAGTAATTATACTCAAAATGCTTTCCAGTACAGAAGATAGAAAGATTGGAAAAATCATGAAATAGCTTCAAAACCACAAAAAATATATTAAAAATTTTTATAAGGGAGGAAGAAATTACCATCTAAATAATGTCATTGTTAGCTAAGCCTTGGTTCTTGAGACAAACTGGAGCAGTTAGAGTGGTCCAGACACTATTTTATTATATTGAAAATTTTAGACACTATTTTATTATGTTAAAGTATTTAATGAGGTGTACTCATAGTGATTTTAAAAACAATGCATTATTTACTTAAAAAAAAGTTTAAAACTGAGTGTTAATTGCTATTGATAGAAGTTTTTTCATGAACTAATATTTCAACCCATTAGTTTCATTTTTAGTAAAGAAACAATGCTTGCTGAAACTAATCCTTGACTAAACAAAACAATGTGAAGAATTTCAAATTAACCAAAAAATCTATAAAAAAGTACATTATATAGTTGCATAATAAGAATTAGTAAAATTCAAAAATGGCAAAATGCTTATTTTATTGTAAAAATTTTTACAAGTTCTTTAAGAAATATAAGAAATCTAATGAAAAATAAACTGATAGTTCTTTAATAATTATAAAACAAAATTTTATTAGTATTATTTTATTGAATTATAAATTATAACCAAAGGTTAAAAAAAATTTCTCACTTTCATTTCTTCCAAGATGTTGGCACACTCTTGATATAAAACTGGATCATCAATTTCTTCTGCTATTGCAATACCTCTGAAGAATAGAAATTTATTAAGTCTTTTTGGAATGAATTATAAATATTTTTAGAAATATTTTAACACTGAATGACTAAAACTTAAACTTATGGAAATACATAGACTAGTACACATAAAACAATTATTGAATTAGACATTATGCATCTTAAAATGAAAATTTGAAACTGCACATTAAAATTACTAATTTTCTTTTGTAAATACAATATCTTACAAGAAATATGCTCTTGTTTAAGAACAAAAAATAAATAAAAGAATTAATTTGAGTACACAAACAATATTGAAGTTAAATATTTTATAGTTAAAAGAGTCACTAATAGGTAGTAATAATTACAAAATAGAGGAACTACTTATGACTATTATATACTGTTTACTTTACAATAAATTATTCAGTGTTACCTTGAATAATTTTTAATTCGATAAATAATTTGANACAAGCGATTAATACGATATCACTTTTCCATAACATCCTTTTCCCATTCCCCCTCCTCCGAAATTAGTAATACATTCGCAAAGCAAACACTTTCAAGGCCATTTTACTGCATTCTGAAGTAGGGGGTGTAGTTCTATTTATAGCAGCGCAATGCAAAGCATCGTACTTCGGGAAAGCGTATATATACGCCTGCGGCAGTTAACACATCGTCTGGCCGAGACGTATATATACGCCCGCGGCAGTTAAGGGGTTAAGAAAACTCTTAATTTTTACAACACATTATTATATTTTTTTTTGCAAGGATAAATTGAATAAGACTTTAAAAGCACTGTTGTAAGCTATATTGAAGAAACAGATCTTTTTTATAAAAACACATTTATTTGACAACCACACATAAAATAAACAAAATTAAAATACCTGTAATGGGTTAGTATAAACCTTAAATGCAAAAACAAAAACCAAAAATTATCTCATCAAAAATCAACAACTAACTAACAAAACAGATGTTCCATAAGTTGTCTCCTGCTTTTATTTTTAATTTATCTTGTTCTATTTTTTTATTCATGCTTTTGTTAACCAGATATTTTTAAACTTTATACTGTATTCAATGAAAAAAAAATTAAAATATATGATTAATACTTTTTTTAATTATATATGAGCGTTTGTTCCAGCCATCTTTCCGAATTTTCTGTTAGAGGCTTTCCAATATCAAAAGCCACTGCGCTCAGTTCTTGGAAGGTCAAAATCAAATACACAAATCTATCTCTAATGCTGTATACATGTTGCATACTAAATATATTTATTGATCAATCTATCTGTATTTACAAAGTGCCAAAACCCCATAAAGAATTGAATATATTGCATTAATATTTCATCCCCTTGTAGGAATTTTGAACCTAACTCAGAAGACAAGAACAAGTATCAAAACAACCTCGACCTAATAGATCAATTATTGGAAAAAAAATCACTAAATAATATACATAATATACTTGAATTAGTTCTGATGAATAAACACCACATTTGTGATACATGAGAGGATAACCATGAGATATCAAGCCCCTAATTTAAGAACCATGGTACTCAAATTTATAATCTGTTTTCCCATGGAGGTATTTTATATTTACTAAGGCCAGGTTCAGCATATGAGTCTATAGTTAGAATATGAAATTTAATCGTTTGTGTGTTCAATTTAACATGGAAATAAGTCAACTGCATGTTGAACAGAAAACATAAAGATTGATATACTAAAAAAATAATTGTTTTCACAAAATCCTATAAAATACAATATTTTTGGTTTAAGAAGTTCGCATTGATAACAATAAATCCAAACGTGCTAATTAATATCAATAAATTATAAAAATCTGTTAAAATCGCAGAAAAAGAAAAGTTACCTTCTATAATCACTAGAGCGAATAGACGTTCGAGCAATGCCAGCTTTGCAAACTAAAGTTTGATGACTGACCTAGAAAAAATAATTTTAGGATCAAAAATACTAAATTCAGTACATGCATTATAATCAGAATACTACAATTATACGAACCAAATAGTCATCATCTGAATTAATCTGGAGTCCTTTTTCATAATGATGCAAAGCATTTGTAATATCACCCCTAAAAATTAAATTCAACTTTCAGTGTACAAAGATTTTTTTAATTAAAAGTCTAAATAAAAAATTTCATAATAAAAGAGTGAATAATAACTTAAAATTTTCAAAATTTATTTAACTGTTTAATTTTTTATATCCTCATAAAACTGAGTAAGTTTATATTCCTGTATCCTCTGGCCGGGCAAGGATGACTCAGCCTTTCATCCCTTCAGTGGGTCGATAAATGAGTACCAAGCATGCTTGGGAACTAAACACTGGGGGTTTCGCGTTCGGCTGACCACCTAACCGGAACATCTGCCCCTGCACCCCAGAGCCCGAAGGTCAAGAAAACTGAGATGGGCACAGTAGGCCTTGGCCCTCTATGGGCTCTCACGCCGCTGAGTTTAGTTTTAGTTTATATTCCTGTATGACATAAATTTATTTGTAATATTAAATTTATTGTAATTACATATACTATGAAAAAAATTAAAAAAAAAACTATAGTTAAAAGAAAAGAAATGGCTACAATATTAATATTGTTTCGAAATCTAGATGCATAAAAACTTTAATTTTTATAATAAATATAGATAACCATTAACTCATAACATTTGTAGACTTCACTCTTTGTAACTAAACATTCATCTAACTGAATTTTGCCAGGTTAGGAAATTCAAGACACTACTGTAAAATTTTAACATCTTAAAAGACTTCAAATAGTNTTCCCTAAGGACAGACTTCCCTTTAAATGTTTTTAATTTACAGGGTAAGAGTAGACTAAATAGTTACAGAGTAACATCAATTTAAGTTGAGTTTTTAAGCAATAATGGAATTTTTTATTGCAATTGAAAATTTACATTTTATGAATAATAAAATGTATGAACACATAAAAAAATTAACATAGAATATGCAATGTAACACATGCAAATCATGTAACACAAAAAAAACTTTAAATGAAATACAGTAAGAAGAGACTGACGTAAATTCCAATTGCTCAGCATATTCTTTAGATATTAAAGGCACCTCCACTGGATTCAAAGTAACAGCCAACTTTAAGGCAGATTCCCACTGGAAAAGATTCTTTCTCATTTCTAAAGCAGCAGACGGTTTGGAAGACATTAAATATAAGCTTTGGGCCAGTTCATAATTTTTGAAGAAAAACTCAGCAATGTGACCAGACAGAAGCTTTGTGTCTTCCACTTCCTGAAAAACAAACTCAAGCATGTACAACTCACACAGGATACATATAAAAAAATATGTATTATAAAGCAAACTCTTGATTACCACCAGTGGTTTATGATGTGCCATACTAACTTGGATCATTAACATAAGCATTGCATTATGGAATAAGAAGTTAAATAGCAATACATTTTTTTCAAAAATATCAAATGTTGGACACACTAATAAAAACAATAATTAAGCAACATGCTTATGGATAATAATTTAGAGGATAAATGATTTGTTTGTTGTCATATAAGTTATGAAAGGTGCCTCAAAATTGATGCAAAAAGTAATTTTTTGTAGAAAACACAAGTTTTTAATTAAAAATAGTGAATTTGTTTATTGATTCCTAAATAAACAAATATAAAGTATACAATTTAAACTAAAATATAAAAAATAAATAAGCAAAATGTACAATATAGCGTTATGAATATAATAGTATAACTGGTGTAGTATAACATTAGTAACATATGTAGTATAACATTGGTTATAGTACTATTCCACACATATATTACTGCTTCGTTGACACAAACTCTTCTGAAAAAATTTCTATCAACATTTCGCATAAATATGTCTAAATTTTAATGATAAAACTCTATATTTCCTTCTTAAAGGCCTGGGAGATTATTGATTTTTTGACAAAAGCCTTAGACTTTTTTCAGAAAAAAGAAAAGAAAAGGTCCAATGCCAGTAAATTGCAAGATTTGATTTCTAAGATGGAAAATCGCATCATTACGGAATGACTCAATAGTTAAAATATATTGATTTTTTGGGTAGCGCAAAACTTTTAGTAACTCTGAACTGTCAGGTGTCACACCATATCAAAATTTTTTATTATTAACATTTTACTGCACAAATTGAGTATAATTCAAACCTTATGATTTTAAGACATAATTAACAAGAAATTTAAAATATTTTTATATAAATAGCACTATCATGAACAATGAAACATCATACCGTTTTTCACTATAAATAAAATAAGTGGAAATAAAAATTAATACATTAAATATTAAAATTAAAATAAAATATAACAGAAGAAATCTTACCTTTATTTCATCTAATACGAAAACTTTACTGCTATTCCCAAGTTTTTGAAATATCCTAGCAGCTATTAAAACAAAGCATTATATTTAAACTAACCATAGATAATGTAATAAGATAATAAAACTTTCTGTTACTGACAGTTATTTTTACTATTAAAATTAACATTCTAAAAATAATATTTTTACAATTCAATCAATGCAAATATAAATGTGAATTTCAGAAATTTATAGTATTAATACATAACTAAATTTGAAATTGAACCGAACCTAAACTTAATTTAAAAGAATTAGGTAGCTTAAACTTATCTTAGAAAAAATACTTTCACTAATTAAACTTATTAGCAACTAATTTTCTTAATAAAATTTTTTTTTGATTTCAGATATTAAAATTTTTCAAATTTAAAACTAAAAATCTCTGCAAACTAATTATTTTAGCAAGATTTATTACATAAATTGTTTCATATAGTTGAATGATTTAGTTTACAGTATTGAACACTTGATGTAGTTACAAAATTTACAGTTAATCACTTACTTCAAAACTATTCAAAATTTTCAGTAAAATAAGAATAAATAAGGAAACGAAATTGTTTCAACCTTTTTCAACTTCTAGATTGTACAAGGCTATATTGGCTAATTCATTCCAATGTTTGTCGGACTTCAGCATTGAAGCTAAAGTATAAGCTTGATCAAACCTTAAAAAAAGAAGCGTCTAAATACTTTATTTTCTGTACATGATATGAAAACTTTAGATTGAATAATTCAGCTGAAGAACTTAGTAGAAGAAACCTGCTCACTGTACAAACATTTTGTAAGCAACCTCTAGATTTCTTCTACTAAGCTCGTCAATTCAAAATAACTTCACAAACCTTTTTAACTTCAGTGCTGATTGAAAAATGCTTTCAACCTGCAATTATAAAACATATTTAATTAAAATAATCTATTTCTGTAACTTAAAATAGATAATTTTGAAATATACAATAAATCATAACTCCCATAAAAAAGGGGCAAAGTAAAAGTACAAAGTAAAAGTTTTTTAAGTTTTCAAGGTCATATAATAATTTAAAAAATATTTTGCACACATTGTACGACTACAAACCATATTTTTTAATAGAAATAATCTAATTAGGGAACCTAAACATTTTATTTTCAAGTATACACGAAATATAAATGATAATCTTATTAAATCTTCAATTCTTTTCATTAGAAATTTTCAAGTGAATTTTTTTAAATTTTTTAAAGATTATCTAATGATTTAAATAAAATTTAAAATTTGATTCAATTTTAATGTTTTACAGTGATTGTTCTTTTGAAAATAACAAAATATATTTGATTCAAAGTGCTTAAAAATCAATAATATTAAATCATTTTGTCTTTGACTTGTCTAGTACTCTAATAAGCTTAGTTCATTAAATTTTCAAGGACATTGATTAAGACTATTTTAAGAAAAAGTATTTTCCTTATAACAGAAATTTTTTTCTTCTTATTTTTTATTATTTTCTTTAAAATGATAATTTTCATCAATTTAAAATTATTAACTTATTGAAGGAAATTTTAAAACAATGGTGGTCGGTACAATGGAAAGAAAAAATATTTTCGTAATTCATTACCAAATTTGCTAATAGCAATCCCTTCCATTAACGGAAATCATACTTTATCTCAAATTTTTAAATGACTGAATTGGTAAGAAATTTTTCTAAATAATTTTTATATATTTATACAGAAAATGTTTACTCATTTTAAAAAAAATTATAATAATAATTTTAAAAATATAACAATATATGTATATAAGATAATAAATTATTTACAAATCTTAACACCTTAAATTCTTAAGTAGGAAAAATTTATTCAACATAGAAAAGGTAACAATGTCTTTTTATTTTGACGATTTCTAATAATTTAAATCCAAATTTTGACTCATATATTACTTAATTTTAACGTTTTCTGTTTTTGAAAATTATTTTTACAGCTAAGCTTACATTGCATTCAAATATGTAGAAATACATATCAGTGTTTGACTCATGAGTCAGAGGTTTGTTCTAAGCTAAGCATTTTAAACTTAACTTGACTTGAGATAATCTAAAAATCCAAAAATAATAATCATTCAATAACTTTTTTTTTTAAATTTCTTTTATTTATTAGATAAATAATTTTTTTTAATTTCTGTTGGTTATTGCAAGATTATTCAAGATAACATTTGATGAGTGTATTTTTCAATCACTTTACACCATTATTTAAAAAATAAATTTCAAATGTTAATGGTGCAAATTGGATCACAAAATGATTATAAAAGAAATAAACACATCTAAAGCACCTTTAATATCAATTTTATTCTACCAGGTTTCCCAGAAAATAGCAATGCGTTTCTTTAGAATTTATTGAGAGTCACATTCCCTAAGGACAGACTTCCCTTTAATATAATAAATTTAAAAAATAAATAAAAAAAGCCCCTTTTAAAAATATATCTATCTAGTGCAAATACATTCAGTATTGCACTGTTTGAAAAAGAATCTAAAACAGAATTGAAATCAATTAAAAAAAAATTATTAAACATACATTACAGAAAATAAAGTGAAAGAAGATCAAAATTAGCAAATTGTCAAGGACAAAAATTATAATTTGTAGCTTTACTTTTCTTGGCGTGTAATTATATTTTCATCTCTAAATTCTTTTTTCACACATTTCTTAAAACTATTTGTCTTATTATTAATTATGTATTATTAATAATATAATCTCATAAATCTTCAACATTGCTTACTTGGATTGGATCATGCCCATAATGATATGCATCCAAATGATGTCCAGGTACCGGCATAGCAGATGTTTTACCAGTTGGAGTCAAAGATATCAATTCATCTTCTACAAACAGAGCTGGCATCAAATCATTTCTTGCAAAAGAATTTAAATGCTCAACTTTACTCCCTGAAAATAAATTTTTTCCTAAAATATTAGATTCAAAAATATCTGTGCATTAAATATTTATAATAATATATACATAATCTACATTTCCCACTATTGTTAGTTTTAAGGAAATATTTTACACAAACGTTTAACAAAGAAATGCATTAAAAAACCACAGCAATGTGTAAAATAAGTGAGTGAGAGAGAAATATGTAAACAACAAAAAATTTAGTAATATAAGAAAATAACTCACTTTATTAGAAATTAAATTTAAATACATTATATTTTATACATGAGTGATAAAATATTGTAAATGTTTACTTGTTGCTCTATGAAAACAATATTTCCAAACAATGTAGCAGCATTGGAAAATTTTAAACATCAACAAAATTATAAATACAGATTAAAATGCTGCAGTCAAAGCTTTAAAAAAAAGATGCCAAGCTAAAAAGCATTTCTAGAAGGGTGTAATTTTTTTTCTCATTGAAGTTTTAAAATTAAAAATAAAAATTGCATTTTTTTTTCAGTTCTAATACATTTTTCATAACTGAATATTTAAAAATGATCACAGTAACTTAACATATAAAACACACTTCTAAATAATAAAAAAAATAAAGCATTCAATGGAATACAAATGATGATGTAAGAGAAGAGGAAGTTATGTTGCATTCTTAATTTGCCATTTTCCCTTCAGAGACAGTCGTGCCTTGTTCGCTCGCTGAGTCAGGGGCTTGCACAACCTTCCTCAGGATGATGTATTACGGCATCAGAAGAGCCTCATCATGCTGTTAATATGATCCTTCCTCCTTCGTGTCACAAGTATAGGGGACTGCAGGACTTCTGAGATGTTGTTAACTGATAAACGTTTTTCTGACTGAAATTCACGATGTTGTGGTCTTTCGACCCGGATAAAGTGAAAACTCAACGTAAATTATCAGAAAAGAATTGTTGAAGTGAATTGACTGAAGAATGTGATTTTTGTGGCAGTATTCGGTAGTAGCATTTAGACTTGCTGACACTTGTGAACCCATTCATTCATAGCAATTACTGCAAGTAGGGGTCACTCCTGAAGCTAAGCTTTGCTGTCAGTCTACAGGTTCAAGTAAGTAGTGGCATCTAGTGATGCTAACTTCTCTATTGTGAAAAATAATCACTTAAACTGCGAAATGTTTTTTTAAACTAAGTACAGCACTTTTTCTTCATCATCCCTAGGCTTTTCCAAACCTTCAATTTGTCGTCTGGACTTTTACTGAGCAATATGCTCACTTCTTCTTACTATCATTTCATTTGATGTTACCTCAAAGACTTCTACACCTCAAGTTCTTGAATTTCATGATGAATGGGTAAAGGGCTACAATGGCTAAAAGCAAAGCAAACCTTTATGTCTAAGTCCATGTTGCATAAGGCCAAAACAGAAAAAAAAACACAACACATGGAAGTAAAGATATTTAGAGAATACAACTGTTAGATGCTATTAATAAGCATCATTCTTAACAACAAGTTTGACAAAATGCAGAAAGAATGCTAACAAAGTGAATGAATGAAAGAGAGATAAATTTTTGCATAGCATTTAAAGTATTGAAACAACTATACAATGCAACTATTTTCATTTGTGATACTCTGTTTGTTCTTTCTGTTTTGATTCAAATGCGATCAGAAAAAAAATTAGAAAATCACTTACCATCTAAACTATCACAGATGTAAAGATAAGTGTTAGCTCTCTCTTCGTCAAAGGCAATAAAAATGCCCTGAAAAAAAGTAATTAAACAATGGGGTTTTTTAAATCTAAAACAAAGGAACCTAAAAAATAAGAAGAAAAAAAGAATTTAATAAAATTTACCTTATAAATTGTACACTGGTTCCACAGAATTTTAGAAACATTTGAAGAAAATTTAGGTACATTCAATAAATTACTCTCCATCTGCAAAATAAAACAGAATCACTAAACACTGTAAGATTTTTATTTTAAAAAAAAGGTATAAAAATTTTTTTTTCCTAGAAAATTTGACAAATTAACATTAAGAGCTATCACAAATAGCTACACATGTGAAAATACTTCTTTTTCTAACAGCTCCCCTGATTATCCAGAGTAAACTCGGGTATGTATCTTTGGGTAGTGAGTTCAAACCTGACAGCCGACAAAACAATCAACACTAATACAGTATGTATCAGCAGAAAAGCACACGTTAAATTTGTCTTGGCTGAAAGCCCTCTTGTTGGTTGTGGTGTAGAAGTTTGAAGAGAGAGGTACCAGTTCAGGCGATGAGTATGTCATCTGACCAGAGTTAAAATTACTTGGCATTCCTATCACGGCTGTAAAAAGATAGAGCCCTAAAGATGGGGTAAGGTGATTGGCCATGTATGGGTAATGTATGCGTGACTCATTTCACAATAAAGATACAATAAGATTTATCAGAATGAGTATTCAAGCAACAAAACATAATAATTGAGAGGACAAGTGTAAGATAAATCTAAGTTCAGATTTACAAATTGTTGTTGAAAATTAAAAGAAATTTTTAAAATAGTTTCATGCAGTTTTCCCCATTCTATCACATGGGAGAGGACTTTTATTATATTTGTATATGGTTATTGCACTCATAAAAGCTACAGGCCATCAAAAAAATTGTAGTGTTAACTGTAATTTGCATTAACAACCATAACAGTAAACAATAGGACTTTTTATACTGAACTGCAATTCTTGTTCCTAGTTTCTCTTAATAAAACAACTTCAATTTCTTCATACTCAATAGTTCCCTTCCGATTTCTTGCATGCTTGAACAAACTGAGTGCATAAACCATATTAACTGAAATTTATTTTAACCAATAAAGCAGTAAAAAGAAGGGCTTTTTACACCTTATACATTTTATGTACTAAATAACTGAACGAAACGTTTGTTTAAAAGTAGTAAAAGTTTAGAAAATTTTATTAAGAGTCTGAGCCCGCCCAAAATCCTTTTTAATAAACAAGCCAGAGTTCGCTTTGAGCCCCGACTGATCTCAAATGTGCACTAAGATATTCTAATTCAGTTTTAAAATTACATTTACAAACTTAAAGTTTAAGTTGAATATCTTACTGTCACAAATACCTTTTTGAATTGAATTGAACAAACAATAATGTTCCCTAATAAGATTCACCAAGTTCAGTGATTCTACACATAATATCGTCCCGCAGTGGACTGATCGTTAAGACACGGTTCCCAGTAGAACACCAAAGTCAAGCCTCACTGGCTACGGTCAGTGTGAGGGCGAGTCAACACTTGAATCAGTCTATGAAGGGACAAAGGGTGTGTGGTATTGGTCTCATTAAATTGTTCAACCGCAAAGTGCTCAACTTCTTGCGTAGGTCGTCAGGCTACCGAAGCGGAGGTGCCATCCTCTCTGCACAGGATCAAAATTGTGATGGTATATCTTCGGATCATCCTCAGGGGTGTTTCCCAAACCATTGCCAATAGCCCATTGTGTAGCTTTAGTGTGATGTAAATAAACAACAACAAATATACATAATATCAACAAGCATTACTCCATAATCATATCATAAAATATAAAATAAAATTATTAAATTTAAATATTACAAATGGACAAAAATATTAAATATAATAAAAGTTACAGGATTGTAAATGTAGGCAGAATTCTTTGAATCTGTTATAAGGTAACGAGTTCCTGAAAAGTCAGGATAGAGTTCTTTAACGCCTGTGTTTTGAGGATGCTGTACTGACACACAAAACTCCCATTCCATGAGTGAAAAGAGATGGATTAAACCAGTCTAAAAAAAAAAAAAAGGAAAAATCAGATTAATTTAAAGAGTCACAGAACCTTAGAAGTAAAAAAAAAATGTCTTATAAAAGTTAAATGATTGTTTTCATCATCTAATTGTTATGACACTGAGTGAATTACAGGGTTCTTGCTCAGTTTGTTAATAAAATTCTCCAAGTTTTGCAAGAAAATTTTGACAAAATTTCAGGTTATATTTTAGATATGCGGGGCAATATTTCATCAGAAATATAACATATTCAAAAATGTGATGAAACTATATATTATATTTTGTAACAAACAAAAGTTTACTGGGTGAAGGTTTAACATGCATACTTTATAATACCTTAACACACAAATTATTGATCGGAAAATTTCGTACAAGACTTGGAAAAGTTTATAAAATTCAATATAATACAGTTTACTAATGGAGTCACATCAGTAATATAGCAATCCTCTATCTTACGTAAAATTAAAAATCAAAATTAATTTTTTAAAAAAACTTATAGAACTGCAAATATTTAAGAAACAATTTGAAACAAAAAATTATCGAAGAAAGATTGTTGTGTACAAAATAATATTCAAATTTAAAATTTAAGCCTACTGCAGAGAATGTTTATAACAACTAATAGTATTAGATGCTGGACTCAGCACGTAAGCGATAGTTACTTGCTTAATGACTTCTTAATTTTGAGACTCATCGCATGATGGTGGCAAAGTGCCACCTTTATTTTCCAGGCAAGCTGGTATCTTTCAATCTGAAGTTAGGTAGTCAATTTGAAGCTAGGTCTTCACCGAGATAGAACACAGGCAATGACAGTACAGCGCTTTAACCACTACCATTAAGAGGCCATTCCTCTCTCAACTGAATTCAACTGGGAAAAGGGGCGGAGGGGAAATTCTAAATATGCTTTTAATCCTTTTCATTTAACTTACACAAATAAACTGATGATGAATTACTTGATATGGCAGTATTTTTTGTTACATGTAAAATAAAAGACCATCAGCCAAGCAGAATTTGATATAGAAAAAGAGCAGTATTTTAGATTCCCTATCAATCTTGTTTCACGAAATTATGCCAATACTATTCTGCAATTAACAATTTTTTTAAAGATATCTAAACAGTTATTAGTTTTCAGATTTTTGATAGGCATTTTTATTTTTATACAATTAACGGTAAAGAAAATTTTGAGCGTCAACCAAATCGCTTTATAATAATTTAAACTGGAATAAGATTATATTTAAAATATATGATGGTATTCATGATAATTCCAGTGCCTCTTAAAAAAATGATGTTGAAAAATTAGAATAGTTCTTCAATAAAAGGAAGGTGTTTTTGAATGAATTTGGTCTCTATCTAGTTTTGCTATTCTCCTGTATCTCCACATAGGTTGGGTACATCTCAGTGCAGAGAAAGTAATTGACTGAAGATCTTGTTTTTTTTTATGATACGACCTCTCATCTTTTTCTGGGAATTTATTGCCTTTTAAACAGGGACAGCATCACCACATGATAAAAATAATTTTTTTAGTTACGATAGCAGAAATAGTTTTACGGTGGACTTTGACAGAAGTCTCCATGAGCTATGGATTGTTTACTCCCCTCTACTCTTTGACCTGGTTGCGAGAGATTTTTAAGTAGTGAAATACCTTAAATACTATCATTAATTTCAAACTAAATAAATATCATAATTAATATTTTTTAAATCAAACCAAACTTTATCCAACATTTCTAATTTAAGTTAATGGTATAAAATTTAATTGGAAATGTTTGGGAAAAAATGATAATAAAATAGTATTAGTCCAAATGCTATTGAAAGTTAAATTAAAAAAAAAAAAAACTTACATCTGTTCCAAATGCAAGAAAATCATTAGTCAATGCATGGCAGGTAATAACAGTATTTCTTTGGTCTGGATCTGGAAAAATTCTTGATTCCCTCTCCATGCATGAAACATTTGGTTCATCTATCTATTTAAATATATGACCAGATTATTATTGAGTTCTGAATTACAATCAGGCTTTGAACAATTCATTTACAGTTTAAAAAGTTTTGAAATCAGTTGAAATTTAGATTTGAAAGGGAAAAAGAATTATTTACTTTTTTTCCTCCTTCAGCAGGCAATTTTATAACACATTTTTGGTCATCTCATCTACTACCGAGGCATTATATAAACAAATTTAACCAATTTTTAAAATTATAATGTAATTAATCTTTTTTGACTTTTAAAAATATTAAATTGTTCAAGCAGATTTTGTTTTAATGATCATAAGAATTTCTGATCATGATCTCTATATGATGACAACTCCAAGAAAATGAAAAAATAGTATAAGAGTTTACATCTGACTCCTCTCTTTAATATCAAAATTTTAGTTAATTATTTGCCTTATAATAATGCAACTACATAATTTAATATATAGCCTTTTCTGTATTGAAGGAAAAACATAGATAGATTATTAGTTACCTTATAGGATATTGCATAGACATAATTTTTAGTCAATAAGTAGTCTGTAGCAAATTAAAAAAACTGCATTAAAAAACACAATGATAAACCATAAACATAAACAATTATAGCTCATTTTACACTGCAACAAGATTAATAACATTTTACACTGCAAAAAGAAAAACAACATTTTACACTGCAATAAGAAAAACCTTTTCACACTGCAACAATAATTAAAACAAAGTTACAAAATATAAACATATTTAATACCATAATAACCATAAATTACAAATTTTTATATTTATTTTCTTATGCCCTAAAAAAATTAATACATAATAAAACATAATTTATTTTATATTAATTTATAATCACTATTGAATTTTTGAGTGCATGCAAAAGTTAATTGAGGTTTAATTCACCAGAGAGAAAATTATTAAGGATAAATTCGATGAAATGTATCAATACGAACTTACCATGTGAAGTTGAATTTTTCCATCAATTAATGCTGAAGCATAATCACTATTTAAAAATAAACTGCGAACTGTACTTAGATATTCCCTGTCATACAGAAGTTCAGTTCCTGAAAGAAAATATACTCACATTGAATGATTATACACATGAGTAAGTAAAACAAAGTTTAAATAATTTTAATTTAAGTTTTTCTGAAAGTTCCACAATATTTAATGTTTCATATTCAATTAATAGATAAAAAGTATTTTCATATAAAAAATATTTATATTAGTTAAAATAGTATTAATAAATAGTATTTTTATATTTAATGTTTCCTCAATAACAATGATTTAATATTTTCATACTATATGATGACTGTCTAGTAATCATTGAATCGAATAACCTGAATAATTTTCTATTAATTGTGAAGTTATTTAAGACACTTTAAACAAACCTTTATCACAATTAATTGAAGTTTAACAATTTAACTAAAGGTACATTAATTTAAATTTGCACAAGTTCTCACAGAGGAAAAAATAGTTTGTTATGCACGAAAGCAACCAGGTTCTACTTTAAACTGAATTTAAAGTTAAAAGTGAGATAATTATGGTGTCAAGAAATAATTTTTACACCCATAATACAAAACGTTAATTTATTTATTAAAATGTCAATGACTAAACTGTCAATGAAACAGGAAAACATTACTATCTTATTTAAAAATTTTCAAAGTGAAGATCTTTGGCCTTAGGGCGCTTTTTCATTACACGACACGATACCGACAAAATCGGACGACAAATGTGTGAACGACAATGTCGTTGCCGGATCGTTTAAGCAATTGTTTTTTCACTTGTCCGATATCGTTAGTCCGAGAAGTAGAANTGTAATAGTTAAATCATAGTCATAAACAACGGAAATAATTTAAATAATTACAATTAGTTAATTACAATATAAATAATGCAACTAATTTTAAAATATTAGATCGGACGAAGTTTATGACTTTGCATTCAGAACATACTCTTAAAAAGTATAACCCTATAGCCTCTGTAACTCTGTGGGGGAAACATTTTGAGCGTGTTAGGTGGGTCATCTTGACCATCATTTACTAGCAGGTGTTCCTTTGTAACACTCCTTACAATGCCCTTTGTTCATTTTGGGGGGAATAAGTTTGTGACGAACCGTATCTGTCATCACACTATGGATTGTAGGTACAATGAAATGAATTGTGAAAACGTTGAATAGAACAGTGCGAAAAGCACGCTTTTACATAATACGTGTCGGAAATCGGCATGGTAACGGGGAAAAAACACATTTTCGAAACGGGAAAGTTAAGCCATTTTTAAAAATATCCCATGACAAAAGCACCTTTAAGGGCTTTTTAATAACAAAACTTGACAATAAGCACCTTTAAGCACTTTTTAAAAACGCTATGCACCATGTACAACTCACCTACTTATATTTTGGTGTCCTTTCTTGTACAAGGAATATTTTTAGGACCTCAATTCAAAAATGAAATACAATGCATTGCTTAGGTGAAATTGAAAAATAAATAAAAATAATTTAGAAATAAGCCCACAGATAAAAAAAAAAACAGACGCAATAGTAAAAAAGATTCAAAAATTGCTTGACACAATTAAAACAACTAGCAAATAACAACTTGATACAATTAAAATGATTAGAATCATTATAACCGAATTTGACTTTTACTTGTAAAAGATGTTTTAATTTAATAAAAGAAAATTAAAACTTTGCATAATTTTTTGAAATTATATACTTTAAATACAGGATATATATGTATAAATATAGAATACAGCAAAAATAAAACTTGCACTAAGTTACTGCATCATAAAATTGAAGTTAACTAATTTCTTTTTACTTTGTGTGTTTATTTTCTTCTGTCTATCACTTTAATTATAAAATATTTTATAATATATATATTAATTTAAATAGTGGTTTTGGCTTTCTTACTATGGCAAACAAAAGATCTGCTATTTTAGAGTTGTTTAAAGAAAGGAAAACGTTCGTTTCCTCTGCACTTAAACGTTGAAAATAAAACTTTAGACCCCGTAAAGTAATTGCTTCCGCAGGAATGTGATAGGTTAAAGGCCTTGTAACCCATTGCTGAAAATTTAAATAAGCACACCAAACACTTTGAAAAAATTAAATTTACTTATTAGTTAAAGCCTACTTTTATTATAAGTTGTTATATTTTATTAATTTTTCATATTTAATAAAGTTAGTATAATAAAAATTATTTGCCCAGGTTTTTTGCCACACCCTGTAACTTGGTTCAACAACTATTTTCTTACCACTATCATTCAAAGTGTAGAACCAAGCTCTGTTATTCATGCCAACAGCTAAATGAAAAGGACCCAAGGCTATAAATTTTGGCTCTATATCAATTTTTAGCTTTGTCACTTCATTCTGAAATAAAAATTTAAGTTTTTGTAATAAAGTCAAAAACTATAAAACTTGATATTATTTTTTGAAGTTACTGCATTTTAAAATAAATTGTTACATACTTTCAAATTTAAAGAATTTTTTTTTATTAAAGAAGGAATCGAGTGTGAAAAAAGATAAATTACTTAGTAACTAATTAGATTAATAATTATAAATTAAGATAAATTAATTAATAGTTAAAACATTTAAAAACTAAAAATTTAACACTTAAAAATTAAAAAAATGGTTAAATTTTTTGGATATTTTTATTTTTTATACAATAGAAATGTGATTATTAATAGCAGATGATTATTTAAAATCATTATAAAAAAATAAAGCAATTTCAGAAAGGTTTTTTAATTAGAACAATGAAAAAAACAACACTTTAAAAGAAAAATAATTAATTGCTCATGCACATAAAAATTGTAATGAAACTAAATAAAATGTATCAGGTTTAAATGGTGTCAGTTATTTAAAAAACTTATTAAATTGAAATGAAAGCATGCGTAGAACTGATCTTAAATGACTGTCCTTTCAGGAAAAACAAAGTGACACATGAGAAATTGTATAAAAAAAAGTTATTTATTTATAGAATTAAATTATATTATATATTGGAATATGCTTAAAATTACTCTTACTGAAGGTTTCTAGTCATGTTGCATACATTTACAAGCTTCATTTGCGTCTCTTAATAGCATGAAAAGAAAATAGTCGAAATTGTAATCTCATTGTTAATAGTGTATTCTAATTGATGAGAAAAAACGTGTAATACAATCCTTAATTAACCCCGCAACTGAGGAGATCCTATCCCTTAATTAACTATAAAGATCCATGTTTCTTTGGTTGACATCAGCATAAAATTAATAAAAGTTATTATGGCATTTTTTAACAGTAAATTATTTATTTTTCCATAATGTAAAAATATTTTACTGTGATATTTAATCTATTTTCAGTATTTTTGTTTTTTTGCGTTAATTACATTTTTGATTTTGGTTTATTATTCCAAATTAAAGACCTAAAACTTGAAATAGTGTTCCTTAATTAAATGCAATCTAATAATGTTCTTTTATTTGCAACACTATATCAAGATAAATATATTTAAAGGGTTATTTAACGTTTTACGATTTTTAAACAGTAAGTTTTACTTTTTTTTATAATAAGCTTAATATAATGTGTGAAGTATTTTTAGAAATTAACTTTTCGTATTATTGCCAAATAATCTTCCTGACTAAAAATATTCAACAACTTTGCCAAAAATTCAAAAGAATTTGAAAAACAAAACTGTAAATGAAGTTGCAATAATAACTGAGCAAACTGATATGGTTTAAATTTTAATTCCAACTTAAACAGGAAGCAAATCTGTACCAGTAGAATAAAAATTTTGATATATTTTAATTTACTAATTTTTAATTTTGCTTCAACAATCTGAAATAAATATGATTGTGTAACAATCCCACAGGTTGGTAAGTGAAGCAAGAAAAGGGTGCAGCATCATTTGATTAAAAATAATTTTACAGGTTTACTTTAATGCTACACTGTGTTTTTAAGATATTTTCAGACAGCACAATTGAATGGTTGCCATACCAACTTATATGCACAAATTGAGGTTTTGAATACATACGCCATTTTAACAAAATCATATTGAAAGGTATTTTTTGAATCGCTGAAATGAGTTCCATTCCTTATTTTTTTATTTAAAGCACTAGCAGTATTATCCCTGTCAGATAATACTAGTTTAAGAAATGACAAAAAGCATAATCAGTTTGCAAAAGGATAATAATTTAGAAATTAGCGTTGGTTGACTTGGATTTTCAAACCAAAAAAAGATTAGCTGACTGAGCTTTTGCTGCATTGAAAGAACTGATTTATGATCAACCTTCCTAGAAAGTTCACAGTCTTTTTAATCCCATCAAGATATAAAAATTCTTATTTCAAACTTTGTAACAACTTATGAATGATATATCAGGTTATTAAACTAAATGGCTATTTTTTATGCATGGAAGATAAATGTTATTAAATATTACAAGGTTGAATGCAAAATCATTGGCATTAAATTTTATTTTTATCTAAATTTTCTTCTATCTCCTTGACTTAACAGAAAATAAATTATTTTTAAGTAGACAGTAAGCACTAATGTCAGAAAAAGCATTTCTGATACGTTAGTTCATTATAAAGCATGCATAGAAGCTTCATTAGAAAATATTACTTTTTTCATTCAAAATTTTAACTGGGCACAAGAACAATTGTACTCATCTTCTTTTCCCTGAGTACAGGTTTGATTATAAATGTAATCCAAAATAATATTTATATAGTTAAAAATTAACACAACATTAATAGACACTATCCAAAAAATGGCATCAAAATTATATTCTAAACTACTGTAGATAAAATTCATTATAACAAAGATATTTTTACAGCATAACAAACTCGTAGAAATACGAAAAGCTTGCATTCAAAGCCCAATGTAAAGCATTTATGAATAAATGTGTACCTTATGAAAACTCATTCCAAATTACTCATACTTGTTTAATAGCCATGCAAGTGCACTTTAGGTTGCAAGTGACAGTGCATAGGTTCAAATATTTATGTTACCTTTTTCCTCGCAGAATATATAGATACTTCATACAATGAACTTAGATGGGCTAACTTTTGATTGTAACCACAACCTAAAACGGGCAGTTTAGTCAAATAGACATGAAGATTTCCTTCATTTCCTGACACTGCCAGTAACTGGCCATCATCGCTCCACTGCAAGCCATCAATCGTTTGCTCATCCTCAACAGAAATCATCTGCAGCATTTCTTGCAAATTTCTTAAATCATATGTTTTTATTCTATATAAAGAAACAGAAGTTTGTATTTAGTACTTAAAATCACTTACATTTAAATGAGTTAACAGAATTTACATCACAAACACACGAGGACGGTCTTCACAACACTGAAACAAGAGAAAAGTATATTGTTTATAAGCACAGTTTCATGAATAAATTACTGTGAAGATTTGCTAACTAAATTTACACTTAATACATTACTTAAAAAAATTAGAATGCTCTATAAAACTTTTCTTTAAATGTATTTACGGGCAGAAGATTAAAAAAAAAAAACGTTTTCATTTCACCAGATTTGGTGATGTACTTTGTAAGCTACGTTTTTGTTAAAGTTAATAAATCTACCATTGTAAAACCAATAAAATATAGAGAAAGTATAATTTTTTCCTAAAAACTTTAAAATGAAAACAGAGTTTACACTACAAACACAAGAGGATGGGCTTAAAAACGCTGTAACAATAGAAAAACATTTTTTTAAAGCACAATAAAATTTAAAAATGCTTCATAAAAAAAAATCCAGGAGAAATTTAAAGTTGCATCTAATACATTAGTCAAGACAAAAATAGAATGTTCCAAAAAACTTAATTTTCAATATTAATACAAAAGGGTATAAATTTTATACTATTCTATTGTCTGAAGTTTTGATCATAAAGAAAGGTGGTTCAAAATGATTTTGCAGTAAATTATCAATCATCCATCATACTTCAATTTTACAGACACTTGCAGTAGAAGCATAAAATTTATATTATTAACTGCTTTATATTTCTTGCAAAGAAAAGTACATATTNGAAGTTTTGATCATAAAGAAAGGTGGTTCAAAATGATTTTGCAGTAAATTATCAATCATCCATCATACTTCAATTTTACAGACACTTGCAGTAGAAGCATAAAATTTATATTATTAACTACTTTATATTTCTTTCAAAGAAAAGTATATATTTTCTTTTTTCCTTTCTAAGAAAATTTGTAAATTTTAATGCATCTTAATTGAGCAGAAACAGTCAAGCAACAGTCAAAGCTTTAAAAGAAAATTAGAAATAATAGTAGTTATACTTGACTGTATTTTTTATATTATTAAATGGCTACAAGAAAAAACACAATAAACAAACATTTTAGAACAAAAAAAAAAATAATAATAATTAAAACGAAAAAAAAAATCAAAAATTTTATATTTTTATATAAGAATAACAAATTTTGAGCATAAAAATGCAAAACAGTTGGTCTTTTAAAAATATATGCAAAAGAAAATTTGGGGTTAAAATTTAAACTATCTGATGGATTCAAATTACATAAAAGTTGTTTGAAGAGCTTTTTTTTTTCCATTTTACTATTGGAAACCATTTCTGATATCCTTTAACAAAATTAATAACTTCAAACTAGTTAAGAAGGAAAATGTCACAGTTATTTTGCACATTTCCATTTTAAATTATAAGGCAAGGAAATTGACTCAAAAAATAAGGTGGAACCTGTTATCATCTCCACAACCAACAACTTTTTTTTCTGCATAACAAAATGACATGTGCATAAGATGGTTTTTAAAGCACTGTACATGGCACATTTCCTGAAAAATCAAAAATAAAACACATGAATATAAAATACAAGCACACAGGAAATTAATTTGCAAGTTTCTGAAGAAAAACAAGTTTTACTAAAACTTTTTGTAAAGTTTTGCAAAACTTTTATAGTAAAAAAAAAAAATCTAAACATGTAATATTTTGTAATGATAATAATGTTTCAAATAATTTTGAACCAAATACATTTTAATACATTTGAAAATTAGTTTAAAAAAATTATTAACTTTAAAATTAATTATATTTTATTATTAAATTATAAAATAGCAATTTGTGCAGGAACAACAGAGAGTAAAACAATTATTCATAGTTACAAGAATAAAATTGACTACAAAAGAATTTTGATAACCCTATTTCACCTGTATAATTCAGCTAATTTTTTGAAACATTTATCTATTGTCTGTAAAATTAATCATTTGTTTGCCTCATCAATAAATGAAGTTAATTCCATTTGAGTTTACTTCACTCTGTTTTTTGAAGGCATTATTAATGCATATTATATAAAAATAATACATAAATATCTTTAAAAAATCACTTTCACAAAAGAAAAAAAAAATTCGAAAACATTATTAACAATGGGAAATTCTACTAAAAAATTATATCATTTTCTAAGAAGTAAAGGCTGAAACTAACTTGGCCAATTTCTTTTAGAAGAGTTGAAAGCACAATGAAAAATCCTGAAGAAAAACCCAACAAAATGTAGCCTTCGCCATGCCTATATAAAAATAGAAGCAAGTTAATGACTATTGTTACAAAAAAGAAATAACTAAAAGAATTTTAAATATCAGGAGAGTAGTGCAAATCTAGAATTAAACTAATAAAAGAAGAAAAATATTTACAATTTCAGAAGTAGTTGTCATTCTAATCAAAACAGTTCTTTGAGATTTGTTAAGTGATAAGAGAATTGATATATCTGTGACTGAACTTCAAGCCCCCACTGAGGATCAAACCCCAGTTCTTCACAATATGCTCAGTGCTTCTAATCACTGAGCCATTGCAGCACATATGTGTGACAAGGAAGTAGTAAACACTTAAATTACACATAACATCAGAAAAATCTATCCTATTTGTCTATTTTATATGAAACTAAATAACATAAGAAAATCAAGCTAATTTTCTTCATATACCAGTTAATCACTTTTTATTTCAAAAGTGCTGTCATGATTTATTAAGACAAAACTTAAACCATTGCAATTATCTTGAGGAAATGCAAAGTTATAGGAAGTTTACTTCTAAATATCACTAAATTCAAATGTGCAGAGAAGGGAAGAAATGAGGTTTTTAACCCTTTGAAAATAAATCTGAATAATTTTTTTACATCTTCACATTTTTTAAAACTGAGTAGCATGGGGAAAAGCAAAATTTTCCATACAAGAAATCAGTTAGTTTGACATTTGAAAAGAGTCGACTTTACCCCTAATGAGAATAAATCGAATTGATGATTCTTTTCAACTACATGTCACAAGTATTTTAAAAATTAGTTTTTTTCATATTAAACACAAGTTTGTATCAAAATAATAAAACATTTAATAAATTTTTATAATGTTTATGATACATTATTAATAAAAGTTGACTATTAGTTTATTAAGAAGGATAAAACATTGCTAGGGTACCTCAGAATTGTGAGACCTGTGGCAACTTAATTTTAAAAGAGGCTAAGCAACTAAAGAGATCCTAATATGCTCCAAGTTGCCTTAAGATGGATATTATGTAACTGTTTTTGAGTAAAATGTTGCTAAGTCTATATTAACCACAACAAAGATAACTTTAAATATGTTGGTTACACTGAGAAAAAAAAACTTTCTTACACTAACAAAAAGTTCTTTACTAGTGCTTCCACAATTCAATAAAAAATATGGATACAACTAGAACTAGACGTTAAATTTTTAAAAAACTGACAACAAACTGTTGCAGTGAAATATAACTTATTAAAAATTTTTTTCTTCTAATTTTAGAAAAAAGAATGACATTTCAACGAGAGCAAAGAAATAATCAGCACATTTTAAGAATTAGTTTAAAATTTTCAATAATATATTTTTTTACCGAACTAATACACTTTCTGGATGTTTTGAGCTAATAAAAATATTTATGTTATTTTAACATAATTCTTAAAGATATGCAAGAAAAGTGAGTTACTTTAGCATCTAGGCACATGGCTATTAGCTTTTACTGAACAACTTATTATTAACAACAATTATAAGCTTAATACTGACCACCTGCCCTGACCTGATGACTGTGATTTAAACACATTTTTTTTTAATTTTAACATCAGTAACAAAGTCATTAAATTAAAAAAACTTATATAATTAATATACTATAAAAATAAATTTAGCTGTTGTTAATCAAAACTGTATTCTCATGCAGGAAAATTATTTCAAGTACTAAAGAGGTCGAAAACATTGGAAAGTGTTACAGTCACTGTGTGATACTAAAATAGTAGATTGTATTTAAATGAAACCCAGGCAATCAGTTAAAACAGGGTATTCATCATTGCATTACTTGTGAAACTTTTCTGACTCACCAGTAATAGTCAATGACACTACCATATTTCTCTTGAAATGACAGCACAATCGGATCTTCAGGATCATGAATGTTCAAGAGGAACAGAGACTTCCGATTCAAGATCAAACTAACCTATTACAAAAAAAAAATAGCAAAACTTTCAACAAAAATCAATGATAAAATACAAAAATTACATAGTTATCAAAATAAACTTGATAAAGAATTCAAAGCCAAACATAAATTATTTGAAATTTAAGACAAATATCATCCAATTAAGATTAAACTAAATTTTAGATTAACAAATAGTTTAGAACTGCAACTTTTCCTTTAAATAAATAAATATCAATGAAAAAAAGAAGAATAAATACTCACATCTAAAAATGCCTAGAATTATTTTTTAAAGAGATCATAATTGTGTTTTAACATTAAATTTCACATATAATCAAAAAATAAGCAATCAATCAATAAAATAAATATAAACATACAGTAGTTTCTCCACCTCCAGGAGCATCTTGCTTCATTGATGAAAACTGAACATGTGAAGGCTCCCCTTTTAAAGTAGTTCTGAATATTGTATCTCCATCAGCATTACTAAGGGTAAAAGATTTATCGCTTGCAACCAAAGCTAGATAATTTTGTTGACTCCATGCACCATAAGTAATTTGCTTGTTGTGCTTGCCCAAAATGGAGATTTTTCTAACAAAAATAGAACAAAATCTGTTATAAATAATGCTAAACAAAGTGACAAAAAAGCTCAAATAATACTGAATAAGAGTAGTATGAAGAAAATCTGTTGTAAAAACTAAATACAGATTTGATAGAAAATTAATTAAAATGTTTGCAAAGAAAGCAAGAAAAACTAAATTACATAGTGTTTTTGATGGAATATTTTGCTATTCTAAAGATTAAAAAAAAAATTTTTAATAGAAGATATGTAGGTATTATAGTTTAAATCAAAAAGAGAATACAATGTTTTACAATACATCAGTTTCAAAACTAACACTGTTTATTTATTTAGGCATCTACATTAGGGACAAGTAGAAGCAAATGATTATATTTTAATAATATAAAAAAACTGAAATAGTTTTTATATCTGTGTTCAAATAATGACAAATATTATAATAATAAAATAAATTTGTGAATAATTTTTTCTTTCTTTTCTGCTTCATGGGATTTTTTAACTGACCTTAGATATTTTTACAACACTAATTTTGAATCTGCAATCGGTTTCTATCTCCAAGCTACAGTTTTTATAAAAAGACATTTTCAGTTTATTTTTTTGTCAAGGTAGGTAGGTATTTTATTTACGTCACACTGAGCTATGGGCGACGATCTGGGCTATGGCTAGAACTGCACAATGGGGTATTGGCGACATCCTTTGAAACATCCCCGAGGATGATTCGAAGACATGTCATCACCAGACATGCACAGTTTCAGGCTCCATCTACACTTGGACAAATCCATCTGCAATTGAGGGTGAAAGGTAAAGGCATTGATGTTTATATTTAAAGCCGAACAACTAAACTGGTAAAACCTCTCCCTTTTAATAAATTAACGGAGATGCCAACTGCTCCGGACACGCCAAAATAATTTTTTAAAAAACGGTAAATAACTACAAAGTAGATTTTGCAAATATTTGACTATTTTTGCTTGCGTTTTAAAAGGTATAGCATGACATAAGTACTATAAAGTGGAGAATTATATAAGCCTACGATTTATTTAGAAATAATGGTGGATAAAAATCTACTAAATTGAATATATTAAACCAAGAATCACAATTACTAAACTACCACTTTAAAATGTACATTTGCTGTCCGAAACAAGTAGGCATCTCTGAATTAAATGCAAGCCTAACTACTAAAACACTGGTATCTGGGATTAAGCAGAGAAAACAGTATTCTTAATGATGATTTCTTTCGTGATTATTACAAATATATTCTCTTAACTACTACAAAAAAGTAAAAAAAAAAAATTAAACTAATAAAGAAAGATAAGCATGCAAATNCTCCTAACTGTAATTGTTGACACTGGAGAATCCAGATGCTGATTGAGCTCTGCGGTCACTGTGGCTGCAATTGTTTCCTTTTTAGACATTACAATCCGCTTCAATACCCGTCGGTCTCTTTCACTCAGCTTCTCCTTCCATCCACTATTTTGCTTTGCTGAGCTTGTCTTTCCGCGCTGTGTGTATGCTGTCATGACTTTAGACACCGTACCTCTACAAACGCCTAAAAGCTGGGATGTTTTGGTCACTGCTGCTCTAACTAGTCGTGCTCCTACAATTTGGCCTCTCTGAAAATCTGTGAGGTCTGACGTTTTACGCTTCTGACAAAAAATCAAAACATAGACAACTCTGCTAAAGCTCTCTCATACCACCTAATATATGTACTTTTTATATTAAAAAAAAACTGGTAGCTAAGATTATATTTTAATGCTTATGAAGCGAATTCTTAAATGTCCCTTTTATTCACAAGTGCTTCCATTATTTGGATAATCACCTGTAGAAGCAAATGATTATATCTTAATAATATAAAAAAAACTGAAATAATTTTTATATCTGTGTTCAAATAATGACAAATATTATAATAATAAATTAAATTTGAGAATAATTTTTGTTGTTGTTTGTTTTCTGCTGCATGGGATTTTTTAACTGACCATAGATATTTTTACATCACTGATTTTGAATCTGCAATCGGTTTCTATCTCCAAGCTACAGTTTTCTTTAGATGATATTTTTAGTTTATTTTTTTTTTGTCAAGGTAAGTAGGTAGGTACTTTATTTACGTCGCACTGGACTATGAGGGACGATCTGGGCTATGGCTAGAGCTGCACAATCGGCTATGGCGACGGTCTTTGAAACATTCCCGAGGATGATCCGAAGACATGTCATCACAAACATGCCATCACCAGACATGCACAGTTTTAGGCTCCATCTACATTTGGACAAATCCATCTGCAATTGAGGGTGAAGGCATTGATGTTTATATTTAAAACCCTACAACTAATCTGGTAAAACATCTCCCATTTTATAAATTAAATGCATCTCTAACTACTAAAACACTGGTATCTGGGAGTCCGCAGAGAAAATAATATTCCTAATGATGATTTTCTTCGTGATTATTACAAATATATTCTCTTAAGTACTACAAAAAAGTTTTTAAAAAAATTCAATTAATAAAGAAAAATAAGCATGCAAATCTTACTTAGAAGTACGGTAGCTATAAATCAGAAGATTTCCTTTAATAGTGCCAACTGCAAGCAATGGTGCACTTTTTGACCAAACAATTAAAGTCATTGGATCACTAAAAATTATTAATGAAATTATTAATTAACAAAAGCAGGAAGGGTAAAAAGCATATAAAAATGTTTATGCTCATAAATATTTTCAGGAGATATACATATGTGTGGGACGTAATGGTTGAGTTCAAAAGAATAATATCAAAAATTTCAGATACAATGCTGCAAGAAGGTAAAAACTTGATTGTGTTTAAAACCATTTCCAGCTTTAGAGCTCTCTTTAGGTGTTTTTAAAATAAGTATAAATCTTACTTCAATATTTATTAAACCAATAATAAAGGAAAAGAAATCTTATTTTTTTAGTTAAGTTTGGAAATATAGTTTGCTCATACGTAATTTTCCTTCCTCTTTTATGTACACAGAAATAATTTTGATATCTAGGATACCCATTTACAAACGAGAAAAATAAACATAAAAAAAGGTTAATTGACTTAAGAAAATTCAAATTTCTTAAATTGTTGTGAAGTAAAATAATATCAATTAGAGAAACATGCAAGTATAGAGAAACTGCGTTTAAATCTTAACTCTACATATATATTTCTTGACCCTTCTTTATCAATTGGTGGTTAAAACAATAAACAATTTTACTGAAGAATATCATAGCTTAGTTATTCCTGTTGAAAAAGTCGGAAAAGAAATATTAATATGAATATGGACTGAATTTTTATGCAACAAACATTTTTCTGAAAGAGGAATTTTGTTTAGTTAAACCCATTAATTTGTAACTTCTAAATGGTTAATTAAATTTTAATAAAATTAATGAAGTAAACTTTTTTTTTAAGAAAAAGTATCCAGCTATTGAACTTGAAAATTAATACTTACATAAAAATTTAAAAATACAGAAATACCTAAAATAGGGTTAAGAAATAAAAAGATGTATGAATAATACAGTTTGTAATAAAACATTTTCAAATTTTAAATCAATGAAATATCAAGTATTTTTTTCTCATTTCGAAAAAATAAAAATAAAGCATACCGGAGACCAGAATCAACATGAGAAACGGTTCTCGTATTAGAATCCCACAAAATAAGTGAATTTGAATGCTCACAAATTATGCTTAAAATTTGGCCGTCTTTGTCCCATGAAATTCCAGAGCAGACACTACAATAGAAATAAAAAAAAATATAAAAAATAAAATATTTTCCTTTAACCATGAAATATGACTCAAATAATCTGCATTTTTTAAAAGCAAATAAGAAACATTGATTAAATTGTGAAAGAATACAATAAGGTAAGAAATTAAAATAAAACAAAATGAATGAGCAAATGAAATATAAATTGTCTTTTTCTATGCTTATTAACACCTAAAGGAAAAGTTGATTAATAAAGTCAATTTTAATAATGATATGTTTTTAAATATGATTCAACAAATTAAATAAAATTAATAGAATATTTATTTAGTCATGTTTAAAATTAATTTACCCAGGTAGTGATAGCTCATGCTGTTTCTCCCCATGGCGATCAAAAATGTTCACTATTTGGTCATACCTAAAAAAATTTTAACATAAGTATAAAAATTTGCATAGAAACTTCAATTACATAAACTCTTCATACAGATTTTTTTTTAAAGGGGGAAGTAAATAATAGTGATTATGAAATTTTAAGGCATTCTATGTCAAACTTGAGTTTGATTTAAAATATGAGAAGTTACCAATGAATGCATTAAATAAACAAAATTCTTTTTATTTCTTACTAAGTGACAGCTGTCAGGGTGTTTAGCAGCCTGGAACTTTAAAAAAAAAAGGGATTTAGGGACAAAAAATTTTTTTAAAAATTGAGCATTTTTTTAAAAGATGCTTTTTTTACAAGAAATATATTGATGTAGAGATATGGGGAAAAAATTTGGCACTGTTTGGTTTGTTCTCATAATCAGCAAAAATTTGAGAGATTTTTTCAGTTCAATTTCAGAGAGAGGAAAATAAAGCCTGAAATCATGAGTCACTTACTAAATGCAGCAAAGTTGCACATGAGAGTTCAAGATTCCTTACCACCAAATTCATTTCAGTCATGCACCTGCAGACCCACAACATACAAAATGATTTTGTCAAACATGTAAAATGATTGGCGCTTACATACGCAAAAGGACTGACGGTACACAAAAATGGATTGTGGCGGAATCAATTGTAAAAATGTTGAATGGAATAATGTTAATTCTATGCTCTTTGCATAATCTGAGGCAAGATCCAACTTGGTATAGAAAAAAAAAACTCATTTTAGAAAAGGGAAAATTAAACACTTTTTAACAACACCCAATGAAATAAGCACCTTTAAAGGCTTTTATAAAACTAAAATCAAAAATAAACACCTTTAAGTACTTTTGAAAAATGCTATGCACCCTGTCTTTTTTATTAAATAAATTATATTGAAGTTTCTGATTGTACTTAGTTATTTAACAAAACGTCATAATATTTGTAAGCATTTAAATTTAGTTTTCATGAGAAAATTCATGTCTCCTCACATAACAATGTTCCCTTATTTGCACAGTTTTTCACCAGTACGACGAGTGCCATTAAATCAAGATTTTACTGTATAAGACTAGAGCTAATTTCTTTTAATTCTGCAGCTGATTTTCTTTTGATTTTCTTTTTTTAGCTTCATCCCATCCTTTCATCTTATCAGTTTGCTTCAAATCTTCTAAGTAGTTTTTGGTGAGCACATATTTTTGCTTGCGTTTTAAAAGGTATAATTAAATATTGTGGAAAACTGGTGCTGCAAATGGCGAATTAAGTTGCACCCAGATTGAAAGATTATTGATAGTAAAATCAAAAATTATACAATTTCAAATATCCGTGGGTTTAATGCTAATATCCCACCAATTAAACAAGTTAAATACCTAGGTATTACCATATCCTATAATCTAAGCAGAAGTAAGCANGTAATCGACTATGTAATCATGATTACAGCTGTAATCAAACTTTGTAATCACGATTACAAGTAATTGATTACTGTAATCAATATTGTAATCATGATTACAGCTGTAATCAAAATTTTTGAAAATTGTAATCATGATTACAAGTAATTGATTACTGTAATCAAAAAATGTAATCGATTACATTTTTGGCCAACTCTGCTGCAGACCCACAACATACAAAATGATTTCGTCAAACATGTAAAATGATTGGCGCTTACATACGCAAACGGACTGACGGTACACAAAAATGGATTGTGGCGGAATCAATTGTAAAAATGTTGAATGGAATGCTCCATGCTCTTTACATAATCTGTGGCAAGATCCAACTTGGTATAGAAAAAAAAACTCATTTTAGAAAAGGGAAAATTAAACACTTTTTAACAACACCCAACGAAATAAGCACCTTTAAGGGCTTTTATAAAATTAAAATAAAAAATAAACACCTTTAAGCACTTTTTAAAAATGCTACGCACCCTTTATTTTTTATTAAATAAATTATATTGAAGTTTCTGATTGTACTTATTTAACAAAATGTCATAATATTTGTAAGCATTTAAATTCAGTTTTCATGGGAAAATTCATGTCTCCTCATAACAATGTTCCCTTATTTGCACAGTTTTTCACCAGTCCGACGAGCGTCATTAAATCAAGATTTTACTGTATAAGACTAGTGCTAAGTTCTTTTAATTCTGCAGCTGATTTACTTTTGATTTTATTTTTTCAGCTTCATCCCACCCTTTCATCTTATCAGTTTGCTTCAAATCTTCGAAGTAGTTTTTGGTGAGCATAGTTAATTCCTGTGTAATAGGGACTAATTAAGGTTTGTTGTCAAATTCTTTTATTCCTGAAACGATATCAATATTTACACTAAACCTTTTCTTATCATGGCAGTTTTATCAGAGGTTAAAACATTGCCAAAGGTGGAGATTATTCATTCAATTGCATCACTGCCATGTGACAAAGCTAACATAGACACACTAACACTTACTTCACCAACAGCAGTAAATTTAACTTCATTCACTGTACTTTTGACAGATTAATTTCTCACCAATACTGATCAATAGAATATTCTTCTAGTTTTCTAATTTCAAAATAATTTGCATGTTTAAAAGGTGCCTAATGTTCAGGGACAATGGTAAAGCCTTTTAACGATTAAAGACTTGTTGGAAGCTAACTTAAAATTGTCTCCAAGCATTGGAGATCAGATAATACACCTCTTTTTATTCTTAACTATTAAGATATCCTGTCACATAAAACTCTTGAAAAACTAAAAAAAGTATTTTTATATTTTTTCTCTATTTTGATAAATTAATACTCAGCTCCAAGTTGTACTTTATTTCTGTTAATGGTAATAATTTAGTTTCGTCCTCAACAATTGAATGATCTTCAGGAATACTACTCTTCTTCAAATTTAAAAGCAATTTTTTCGCTTTATCAAACAATTTATGTATCGTTGGTTGGTAGGTATTTTGAAATAGCTTTAAATAATTTGAAATAAAAGTAGCACTATATACTATAAAAATTAATTTAACCTTAATATCGGATTTTAGAAGTTTAACAATACTTTTAAACTGGCCTAATTGTAGCTAAATGGATTTAGTATGCAAAGGAAAAAATTTCAGAAAGTAATTAATGACTACTGCCTAATGTTCAAGAATTCTTGCAGCAGCCTGTTTTAGAGTCAGCCATCTAAATGGAGAACGCTTCACAAATCTATAACTTTTAATGTTCATCTCTTTTTGTAATTTGCAAAAAAAATATTCTCAACTTGCTAGCCAGCCATTAAAAAATAAAATAATTAACAGTCCTGTCATTTCATCCCCAATTGCTTCTAATCCTTTTTGAAAAGCATTATAAATTTCATGGAAACTGCATAAAACAATGTCAACCAATAACTTCTCTCATACAGCCAGAAGAGTAACGTTCATCAATCTAATGACATTTGGGCCATCACAACTTATTATAAGCATACTTTTAAGGGGAAAGTTAGCATTTGATAATGGTACTATGATTTGATCATGCAAAATTTTGCTAATTGCAAGACTTAAAATACTAAGTTTGATTGGGCTTTTGTACAATTTTGTCCTCTGTGTAGGACTAATACTGAATTTCACTGGAAACCAGCATTGCAAGAATTCAGTCAATCAATACCAATCCCTCTAATCTGGAAGAAATACCTCCATTTCTTGCTTGACAAAACAATGAAAAAAGAAAATTGGCACCATCACATGCTGGTCATTTGATGTACTTTTTAAAGGGGCTTTATGAACCACATGTTAAAAAAGGGGGAGGAAAATGACCAAATAAAAAAAAAAGTACTTTAAGGGACCGACTCTAAACGTACTGAACTTTATATCACCCATTATTCAGTGCAAATGTAGTTTCCTCAATTTAAGATAGTATTTAGAATAAAACATTCATTTCATGAAAATACAGTACAGAACCCGTTATCCGGAAATCAGAAAACCGGAAAACCAAAAAACCGGAACGAAATTCGCTAAATTTTGCCGCCATTTTTGAAAAAAAAAAATTTTTTTTCCTCAGAAGATTTTAGGATTTTTCTTTCTTTTTTGAAAGATGTTTACCTCACCATCGTTTTGGAAATAATCATTAGTGTATTACTTAATCGTTTTTTCTTCGTTTTAAGATTTCCAATTTATTTTTTTTTCAGTTGGGTTTAACAATAAAAAAAAAACGGTTTTTTGTATCGATTCAGAAAACCGGAAAAATCAGTTATCCGGAATAGCGATGGTCCCGATCGTTCCGGATAATCGGTTCCCTACTGTATATAAGTATATAAAAAGTTACCCAGTTGTAACCAGGAAATTGCCTGAGCCTGACTGCCATAGAAATAGGACAGGGCCACTATTGGACAGCTTCCGGGGAATAGTAAACACTCTCTGAAATAAAAAAGAATTTATAAAAATGCTTCTCTTTATAATTAATTTTTCAAAAACTTTTTTGTAAGGAAAAAAAAACTAAACAATTTAAAGGACCCAGAATTTTTTTTTCTTCAAATGTAAGGAGGATTGTACAAAACCTCGGAATAAGTAAATTGAAAATTCTTTGTAAGGAAATATACAGCATTGGTTACTTTTAATTTGTTTCAAAAATTAGATTACCCTTATTGTATTTTATAACTTAAGTTCAATCCATCATCAATATTTTCGAAAACAAAAACCTAAATAGAAACCATAGCTAATTATAACATGTTAAATTTGCATTAAATAAATAGCAAGTCGTTGATTCATGATATAAATAATTTAAATTAACTACATATAAAAATAATTTAAATTAACTACATATAAATAAATCATTGATTCGTTTAAATTAAATATAGATAGATGAATACAAACAAATACATTGCGTTACTCTTAAAATATTCACCTTCATAGCAAATTATATTGTATTAACAATGAACATTAAGGTTCAAAGTTTTGAGAAAATACAGTGCGCTGATGTATTCAGCGATAACTACAGTTGATTGAAAGTCAGAGTTGAAGACAGTCATACAGTGTGCTAAAATGTCCATAAGAATATGTTCGATTTGTCATCAAAGAATGGTTTAGAAATACATTTTAAATTGGAGATAAATAGCTTTCATTAACATTTGTTATGGTTTTTCTCTTGATTTGTTTACATGGTGGTTTACAGTTTATCTGCTTGTAAAAAATTTGAATGGATGGACAAATAGAGCAAAATTGCAACCATATAAGTTCATATTAGATTATTGTATGAACTGAAGTGAAGAACTTGGCGGTGCTTTTCTTTTCTAAATTTAAATTGTAAACAAACAAACGTTAGTTACAATTTGAATGAGATAAAGTTAATTATTTTATTAGTATTATGTTTACCTATGGTCTTAAAATGTGTATTTCGCCGCAATTCTTAATAAATTTTAAAAATGTCATAAAATTAAAGCAATCTACTCGTTTAATATGTAACCAAGTTAATTTTTCTAATTCTCACTCTAGATGTATATATAGATTACAAAAATCCATACCCTATACAAACTATTATATGACGGAAATTGATTCCAATAATTTTGGTCGACATATGTCAAAATGGATCAAATCTTCATCAAATGGTATTCCTGCACTTAAAAATTCAAAAAAGAGGAGAAACAGAAGTACTGTTTTTGCTGAAAGAGTAACATTGAAATTACAGCATGCTAGAAGGGAAACTAAAAGAAAAGTGCAAAACAAAATTGGAGAAATAGTAAGTTGCACTTTTCTTTTTTTAATGAATTTTTTAACTGTATTTATCATAATTGTCCTTATTTTCGTAAGCATGAATATGAAATTAATAATACATATCTTCCTTCGTTTTTAACTTATTGACCCATCGAGTCCAACAAGGAAATATCCCCTCCAACACATCAAGGAGTTCATTTTTTTTCTGGTAAATATTAACTTCATGACCATAATAACTGTTATCAGTTGAATGCCACTGCCCTTTTCTTGTATTTGCAATAAATTAAGAAAAATGTTTAGTCAGTTGCAAAAAGTGATGCCTAGCTATCCCTTTTGAGTTTGTTTTCTTAATTTTTTTTAAAAATTTCTTATGGTAACCGTTTGGCTTTTGCCAATACTTAGTGACCGTTTTGACTCAGGTAGTTATTTTCCCAGAATTTAAATGACAGCATAATTCCTATGAAATTAAAAGACTGCTTTAGGCTTCAAACCATCTCCTGACCCTGTATAATCATTGTACTAACTACCTAGTGTGTTCATAACGCTCTGTTCTAGTGTAAAACTTTCATGGTTGACAAATTGCTTCACTCAATCCATGCAGTTGGAGGGATTTCCGGCATCTTTTAAATGAAATATATCCTGTGTATTCAATAGTGATTAATACATTTAGTTATATTGCATCAATGCTTAATGTTTAATTAAAGTTAGTTTTCTTTCAATAAAAGGAACTACATTGAAAGTAATAAGAGCTTCTTCGATGAGGTCGCTTTTCTTATAAAGTCTGGGTATTTGATCGCAATACACTGCATCGAACAATTTCTTTGTATATAAAAATCCATTTTTATGCCTCTAACGGTTATTAGCTTTTGTATAATGGTAAAGGCTGGATATTTTATTAGATTGCACTATCGCTAACAAATGCTTTACTTTTGTGATTTCATTTTCATGTCTTTAGCAGTTTCAGAACTGAAGGGAGAAGAAATCAATGCATTGTTAATACTAGAATGTATTGTTAATTCTAGATAGCTCCTACTCCCATTACCATCTGGTTCTACAATCTAAATTGTTTTACAGTCTTAGATTTCCACTGTATGTGATCTTAAACCTTTGGCACTTGTACACTTGCCAATGGGCAAAATTTAAAATGCCCTTTTTTCTTCTAACGGTTTCCATATCTGTAAAGATGTAGTGAAAGCTGACTTTTCAGATGCAGAACCATCTGTAGCTTAAACAACCTTTTAAGATTAAACTAAGAAAAATAAGTTTTAATTTCGAAAAATTCATGGCAAGTTTGTTTGCTTGTTTCCTACTGTTTTTATTATCAGTTATTCAAATTTTTTTTTTAAAGTTATTCTAGAAACTTAGTGACTTTTGTTACATTCTTTCAAAATTCATATTATTTAACATCTTTCGATGATAATCAAGCTTTCATCTAACAATATTATTATAAACTAGATAGTATTTTTTATTTCAGAAAGAAAACATCCTGACAGTTCCTAATGGGCTTTGTGTTCTAAGAATAATCTCAACTCCTCTGTTAGGATATCTTGTGATATCTGAATACTACACAACTTCATTAGGAATTTTTATGTTTGCGGGCTTTACTGATCTAGTAAGTTGACTAAATAATTCTTCATTTCCTACTATTATTTACATTAAATTATTGTTTAACTCTTTCCTGAATGTTAAAATGAATAAATGTCAAATACAATATTGTATTAGTTAGTTTTCATTCTATATATATACAGGGCTGATTGTGCTCCGTAAAAAATCCGGATCTCCGGATTTTTCGCTAACCGTGGTCAGACGTTTAAAAAAATCATCGATCAGAAAAGTTTCCGGAAATNGTTATTCAAATTTTTTTTTTAAAGTTATTCTAGAAACTTAGTGACTTTTGTTACATTCTTTCAAAATTCATATTATTTAACATCTTTCGATGATAATCAAGCTTTCATCTAACAATATTATTATAAACTAGATAGTATTTTTTATTTCAGAAAGAAAACATCCTGACAGTTCCTAATGGGCTTTGTGTTCTAAGAATAATCTCAACTCCTCTGTTAGGATATCTTGTGATATCTGAATACTACACAACTTCATTAGGAATTTTTATGTTTGCGGGATTTACTGATCTAGTAAGTTAACTAAATAATTCTTCATTTCCTACTATAATTTACATTAAATTATTATTTTACTCTTTCCTGAATGTTGAAATTAATAAATGTCAATTACAATATTGTATTAGTTAGTTTTCATTCTATATCCTATATATAGATATATAAGTTACTGTTATAGATCCTTTCACCACCAACTTTTGTTTTAAAAAATTTCTATTAGACGTGCATCTTTACTATATAAAATCCAACACCACACAATAAACATTTAATAGACTCATAATTAAAAAACTATTCGATGAAACAATATGAAATTTCGTAAATTTTGAGAAATGTTTAAGAAGTAATTTAGTATTAAACTGTCATTGAATTATTTGATTTTGAGTTATTTTATATCAAATAAATTTTTTTTTTAAATTCGCAGTGTAATTCTGTTTAACAAAAATATTTTAGCAGAAGAATCAGGATTTTTTTTTTACCATGTACCATTGTGTCTGAAGTTTAGCAAAAATAAGTCTCACTAAAATTATAATCTTCTTTTACGGCCACTTACTCTTACATTGGAAGTCAAACAATACTTTAGATTTTGTTGGCTTAAATTTCTTATTAGTTTTCACCAGTCGCACTAGGAATTTCAAATTATTAGCCAGTAAATTAGAGAAATAATAAAAAGCAGAGATATGATCGGATCACATCAATGGAAAGAGATAAAAGGACTGTTGGGTTCATTTTCCAGAAAAAAACCGATGTTTTAGAAGAATGTTTGAAATGAATTTTCCGAAATTTTGGGTAACTTACAACTATGAAATCGTTCCCCAATATTTTTTGGCCAAAACATAATTTGTTCTGTGGAACTTACAATTTTATCACATTTAACAAGATGGTATATGCTTAGTGTGGGGTGGCCTAAGTTTTGGAGCAATTAAATTATGAAGTTATTTCTTATAATCGACTATCAATTCACTCCAATATCTTGATTTTTTTGTGGTCAATCCCATAGTGAGTGGGACAGATAAAAAGAATTGTGCAAGCCATCTTAAGGATTAGCCAAAAGGGGGAAGGACCTCTTAGTAATAATAAAAGACTTTATAGTAAAATTTTTTAAATAGTGCTAATAAACTTGGAATTTTCATCATAGGAATTCTCACCATTAAGTAAAAATTAACCAGTGCCACAGGGAGACTGAATATAACAAATGGAGATTTAAAAAATCTCCTCACCCTTTTTTTTTTTTAAGAAAATTAAATGTGGAATTACTTTTAACATTTTGTAATCTAAAATTTAATTTATATCAAGCTTGTTCCTGTAAATTTTTCTTCATTTTAGAAATGCATTACAATTATAAATATCTACAGTTTTTAAAATAGCTCAAAATTTTTAGTTTTTGACATAGTGGCCACTGTTAAAAAAGCTAAAACTTGTCATTTGACTAAATCTCCCCCTTTTTTTTTTATACAATTGATGCTTTTTTCGATCCTTTCAAATTTTCAGGCTAAATTTATTGGGGAATTTTTCTAAACATTGCAAATGAAGATTATTTTATTTATTCAAATGAATTAAAACATTATTCATACTTAACCTTTTGCATTTTTGTCAACCATTATCATTCATGTAATTTTGCATATTCATGTAATTTTGCATGACTAAACTTTAAAGCTATATTAATTAATCTGGTGCTCACGGGTGTCAAGTAGCTGATGCAATGCAATTGAAAACTTCTATAATTGTATTAAAATCAGGCATACTTCAGCATTTTCTTTAACGGTTGACTGTTATTTATGCATAATTGGTAATTTAATATTTGTTATTTTATAAAATCATTATTTTGCGGCATTAGGTTTCTTAAAAAAAATCCTTTTTTAAATAAAATAATTTTAAGGAAATGTGAAGAAAAGAATTATTGATATTATGTTTTTCATTAAGGGGTATAGGTTTTACTCTTATTAATATTAATTTTGAAACAGAAATATTTCATATTTTTCACATAAAACTTTGTTATTTATCCTTAATATTATTTAAAAAAGGAAGAAAAAAAACATTTTATCAGTAATTATGTGGATGGATTTTTAGCTGAATCTAAACATGCATGATTTTAAAATTTTCTTTTTATAGATTGATGGTTACATAGCTCGAAACTTTCCAAACCAACAGACCATGATNCGTTCCATTGTGAATAATGATAAATATAATTCATATTGTTTATTATATTTATTTATAATTATTACAGAAATATCTCACAGAATATATTACAGAATCATTTTAAAACAATTTTTATCTCTTAATTTTTTTTTCTTCACTTGTATTAATAATGCATATCAATAATACAAATAATGCATATCTTGAAAGCAAGAAGTAATTATTCAACAGCTGAATATTTAGATATTCAACAAAACTATATCGTATCCAGCAAAATGAAATTCACAAGTATTTGGATAAACTAAATTTTCAGCATAGTAAATGAATAGGCTGAATATACTGTAAATCGACACTAACTACTCTGTGTATTTAACAGAAAGCACTTAAATTTGTATTGTCTTATGTTAAAAAGATTATTAAGAAGATTTATAAGAATATTAAAAAGATTTTTCTTTAAAAGAAGATGTCTAATGTACAAAACTGCTAATGTTTATCTTTAAAAATGTCTAATTTTTAGTATAATCTATACCAGTGGTGCGCAAACTTTTTTAATAAATTTCTTAATAAT